CTCTTGACCCATGCTGTGCTTGGCGGCATCAATCACGCTCTGGGCAATACCCTCATCATCCTCAACGAGGGCGGCGAGGTCGTGCAGGCTCTCGTCAGTAAGGGTCTTCTTATCCTTGACGAAGAGAGCGACCTGGGCATAGCGCTGGTTGTCGGAGACAATCTTGATGAGCTCGGGGAAGTGCCACGAGTACCATTCGCGAACTCTCATGGAGAAAGTGTTGATAGCCTTGTCAAGCTGGTCCAGGATGGCGATAGCCTGGATAATGTGGTTGTCGTCACGCTGGACAGAGAACTTCACCTTGGCACGGGAGTAGGCGTGACCAAGACCGAGCTGGGCGGTGTCCATATCACCCTCACGCAGTTGCTTCAGCAGCTTGCTAGCGTGGAGACGAATACCACGGAGAAGATCCTGAACGATCTCGCTGGTGTCACCGGTCTCGCAGTCGACGTGGGAGAAAGCGGACTTGATGCTTCCTGCCAGACCCTTATCGGCAAGACCCAGAACCACCTTCTTCTTCTTGTTCGCCTTGGGGAGGTTCAAGTCAAGGAAAGAGATCAAAGTCTCGGACGCGACACCTTCGGAGATGTCATTGATTTCGCCAAGGGCCTGCTTGTTGTTCCTGCAACATTGTTAATGGACCATGAAAAAAACATGAAAAAAACCTTTTCACGGAGGAGCGTACTCAAAAGGAAGGAAACTTGACAGCTCAACCATCTTGCCGAACTTAGCAAGGTCATTGACTCCATCCTGAACTTCCTTCAAGGCATTGCCGACAGTATCACCCTTGTGGGCGGTCTTGAAAAGCGAGTAGCCCATAGGGCCCTCGAAGAGGAGGAAGTCGGCCATCGTTATAAGCCCAAGACCAGATAATACACATTCAAAGGGGCCGAAGGTATGCAACACCGGCAGAAAACACTCTTGAGTGCAATTCGATGGGTTGCTGGTGCGAGTGTTGGCGACGGGCTGGAAATGGGCAAAGTCGAGAAATCGGCAGCTTTTTTTTCGCCGCTAGTGCGAATCCGTGAATGTGGGCTTTTTGCCAAAAACTGCCTTCACCGCATTCGCCGGACCTAACGCGGGCCTCACCCTCATCCAACAAGCTCCCCTACCATCCATTAATTTATTAATTTCTGGTCTTTGGACGTGTTTCCCTGTCATTCATTTTCCGGGAGATGTCTGCAACTCAGCTACTTAACCCCAAGGCGGAGTCGAGGGTATGGAAAATATCTCCCAGATGGCCCCTCAATGTGCCCGCACACTAACATTTCATGCAGCGGAGAGGAGAGGCCTTGAAAGTTAACATCGCCGCTGGTGAAGGTCTTCAAGATGTGTTGAAGTCTAACCTGGGTCCCTCCGGGACTCTCAAGATGTGAGAATTCGACGAATGCACCCCACATACGAAGGCAATGAAGCTAATAAAACTTAGGCTGGTCGATGGTGCAGGCGCAGTACGCAATCCCTATTCCCTTCTCGAAACACAAACAATATTCTGATACGGCTACAATAGATCAAACTGACCAAGGATGGAAATGTTTTGTTGCGTGAGATGGTACGTTCTGCCCTGAGAATCCTGTACTTGGGAGCATATGAGCTAACATTTGGCAGCAAATCCAAAACCCCACAGCTGTAAGACAAAAATTGCCTCGAAGGTCTCCTTGTTTATACTGACGAAATGGAAAGGTCATGATTGCCCGCGCTGCAACGGCACAAGACGATATCACCGGTGATGGAACAACATCGGTTGTGATGCTGGTTGGGGAGCTCCTGAAGCAGGCGGACCGACACATCGGCGAGGGTCTGCACCCCCGTGTTATCACCGATGGATATGAAATTGCAAAGAACGAGGCTCTGAAGGTATGTGGTGTATAAATCATGGTCTGGGACTCGGATCTAACGCAGGGCATATAGTTCCTCGACAAGTTCAAGCTCGAGCGTGCCATTGACCGCGAGCTGCTGCTTTCTGTCGCCCGTACCTCCCTCTCCACAAAGCTGAGCGGTGCTCTCGCCGAGAAGCTCACCCCCGACATCGTCGATGCCGTCCTTGCCATCCACAAAGCCCCTGAGAAGCCCGATTTGCACATGGTTGAGATTATGACAATGCAACATCGCTCCTCATCCGATACTCAGCTTATCCGCGGTCTTGCCCTGGACCACGGTGCCAGACACCCCGATATGCCCAAGCGGGTGGAGAATGCTTTCATTTTGACACTGAACGTCAGCCTGGAGTACGAGAAGTCCGAGATCAACTCTGGATTCTACTACTCCAACGCCGAGCAGAGGGATAAGTTGGTCGAGAGCGAGCGCAAGTTCGTCGACGCCAAGTTGCAGAAGATTGTGGAGCTTAAGAAGGAGGTTTGTGGAAACGACCCCAAGAAGGGATTCGTCATCATCAACCAGAAGGGTATTGATCCTTTGAGTCTGGATGTTCTCGTCAAGAACGGCATCTTCGCTCTTCGGAGAGCCAAGCGCAGAAACATGGAGCGTCTTCAGCTGGTTTGCGGTGGTACTGCCCAAAACAGTGTTGAGGATCTTAGCCCCGATGTTCTTGGCTGGGCGGGTCTGGTCTACGAGCACCAGCTTGGTGAGGAGAAGTTCACTTTTGTGGAAGAGGTCAAGGACCCCAAGTCCGTGACTATCCTCATCAAGGGCCCTAACGGCCACACTATCACCCAGGTCAAGGATGCCGTCCGTGACGGTCTCCGCTCTGTCTACAACACTATTGTCGATGGTTGCGTTATTCCCGGAGCCGGATCATTCCAAGTTGCATGTGCTCAGCACCTGAAGTCCGCTGAGTTCAACAAGTCTGTGAAGGGTAAGGCCAAGTGGGGTGTCGGTGCTTTCGCTGATGCTCTTCTGATCATCCCTAAGACTCTGGCTGCCAACTCAGGTCATGACATCCAGGATTCCCTTGCTTCTCTCTGGGACGAGGCTACTGATGGCAACGTCGCCGGTCTGGATCTGGTCACTGGTGAGCCAATGGACCCTGTCCAGGAGGGTGTCTTCGACTCATTCCGTGTTCTCCGCAACTGCATCGCTTCCAGCACGGGCATTGCATCCAACCTCCTCCTTTGCGACGAGCTCCTCAAGGCTCGGCAGATGAGTAAACAGGGTGGCCCCGGTGGTATGGAAGAGTAATGCACTTTCTCAATTACGAAGTAAGGCGGTTCATGTAAAGAATAAAAAGGTTATAGACTCAGTTCTCTCATAGTTGGGAGAAAGAGCTAATCCATTCAAAAATGCACAAACTTCATGTTGCTTCTCATTATCGTTATTAAGAATACAGTAAATACTATCGTACATCTGCGATCCCGAATTGTTCTAGTTGAATCAATCTTCCTCCGAGAGGATGCTGTCGTCACTCTCCGCAGAAACGATCACGGGAGGCCATAGTCCCTCGAAGCCTTTTTCGCTCACAGGGTCGTCCAAGGAGAGATGATGCGTTTGAGCCCACTCCCACACATCAGATTTGGATATGGTCACCATCTGACCTGGTGGGGGGTTCACTTCCGTGGCTTCCGTGGCCGTACGGTTGCTCTTACGCTTTTTCGGGGTGGCTTGGGGCTCAAACAGCCCCATACTTTTGAGAGCAGTAACCACATCCTCAGTGAGCATACCGGTGCCCAGGCCAAGCTCCTCGACTGTCATAGCCTCGCGGACGGGCCTCTTGCGGGATCCCTTTGGGGTAGAGTTGAGTTTCTGTTGATTGGATTCACGGGGATTATCGCCGGGCTTGCCGCGGAGCAAATATCGGGCAATCCGTTCAGCCCAGAAGCGGGAATAGCTCTTGTGACCCAGCTCGCTCAGTGGCTTTTCCGGCCCACCGATATATCCACCGGTCGAATCCCAACCGCTGAGTTTGTAGCTGACCCCCATCAACAGCTTTCCGAGTTGCTTGTGTTGGTATGGTGGGAAGATCAAGATACAAGCAAGATTATTCGCATCCCAAGACAGTTTCTCCTTCGAGAAGAAGCCGAGCACATAGTAGCTGCCGGGCTCGTCGGGGTCGGTATATGTGAGGATGTAGTAAAGGAAGGTTGCGACATCGAAGAAGACCGTCTTGTGATCGAGGAACAGTTTCGCGAAGAGGGAGAGATTTTGTCCGAAAAGTTTATGTTTTTCTCCATCGACTTCCCAGACTGCATACCCGCCGTGGTCGTAGACTTTCGTGCCCGGAGGCGTTGTGCGATGCTCACAGGCGCGTTTGTGGTCTGCGAAGACATCCTCCTCACATGAGTATCGGAAGCACCAGCGGCAGACATACAGTCGATCGGTATCTTTGGCGACGAGGTCTTCGGGGTAGACTGATTGATTCCAGGGCTTGAACAGGAGGTCTCCTAGCACGACGTTTCTGAGATTGCGATCCGCTGGGGTCTGCAGTCGCGCAGACTTTGCTGTTGCCATTGATATTCTTGCTGTATTGAGTACGAAGCGGGGGTACAGTTGTGGAATAGCTATATTTCGAGAGCTCTTATGCAGTGTACCGTCTCCAACTGTCCGGCCATTGGTGTTATTGCGGAAATGAGAGTTGTCAACCGGTCGGGGACTTGGAAGGAGGAAGGAAAGTCAGTCGCGCAGACATCTGGATCAATGTATACGAGATGAATGGCATTAATCAATTGTCATTGTCCCAAGTGAATCGCGTGAATGGAGGCCTCAAATTCCAGGCGAACGCGAAAACCCAGGAGGGTCATGTGACGCGAGCGGGGAGAGCTTCCATGTGACGCTTATCCTGTTGCCTGAGACCTCGCCATCTAATATGATTTCTCTATTTCTCCCCTTTACACAGGGATCTTCCAAGATATTTGGAAAATGATCACTTTTGCCACAGGCAACAATTTACCAGCCTGATCTTTTCTTTTTGATTACCCATAACCACGTTTCCCAAATAGCCCAGGAGGCATCATAATTACATATCTTTTATCAACTCCACTAATTTTTATTCCCTTGATCTGTAACATCTCTCCACCTGACCCTGATACACAGGGCTCACGTCCGCCATGTTGAAGCCTTTCCAGATCAGAAACCTCAGGGTGTCTGAGCAGGAGCTTGCAGACTCTCGTTCTCCTTCTGGTGTCGTCCAGATTTCATCTACCGATTATGATGATTTGGCGACTACTCATCCACGCGCCAGGTTGACCTACATCGATGAAGATGAAGATGATGATGAAACAATTACAGTAAGTCCACGACACAAAGCAGGCTATGGGGTAACATCAAACCTAATCATTCGCTCCAGGTTGGATCTGCTCTCGAGCTCTCTCAGCGCCTTGAAGAGCCTCCAGAGATCAACACGCGGCTCGAATCCATCCAAGTATCCCACAACGCCACTCCGATACACATTTTTGACATCCGTCGCTCGAACTCTGTAACTGAGCTCTGGAAGCGATATGAGTGCGACACAAGAGAACAAGAGTCTCCTGAGAAAGAAAAGAGCGATGCGCCGGTTGGGCCCCAGGCCTTTGTCCAAGACGAAGTCCCTGCCGCTACCAGTCCAAAGTTGCCACAGGCCTCCGAAGGGGAATCCCGGTCTCTGATGGAAGCCTTCGAGGCTGAGCTAGCAGGCATTCTCAATGCTGCTGAGCCCTCGGGTACCAGAGGAGGACCCCAACCGGACTCACAACCTGCTGAGCCATCAGCCAGCACATCCTCGGAACGGCCTACTCATCCCGTTGAGGTTCTGGCGGCCCAGGTGCTTGATCAACTGATTAGTGGAGCGACCATGGTTCAGTCTGAATGGAGGGCAAGACTGCCAGAAGTGCAGCGTCAACTACATAATGCTCAAAGACAATTTGAGACTGCACAGAGATCCCTTCCCGCTAATGTTGAAGCATCATTACGCACACTCCTGAATACCCTCGAGGCTCAAGTGAGAGCCGCTTTTAGTAGTATCCCTGATGGTGGAAGACAATTCGCAGAAGAGGCATTCCACAGGGGAAGACCTGTTGCGGAGAATGCCGCTGACGGGTTGCGCATGATGGCCTCGGAACTGAACGAGGCAGGAAGAACATTATTTGCCGCGTTTGAAAACGAGTTTGGGCGAGCTGGACCCGCTCCCTCTTCTACATCTGGCACGCCAAACTCTAGTGTTCCTGGAATATCTGATGTTAATGCCAGTGCTGCAGAAAATGGGCCTGTCTCATCGAGGCCTGTCTATCCTCAGGTCCCAGAAATGCATTCCAGGGCCTCACCAATGACCGAGAAACCACCCAGTCCGGTTCCGGGTAATTGGAACCCTTCGGATGTCAAAGGGAGTCACAAGGTTCCTGCATTGAATTCCGCGGTTTCTTCTCAAGGCTCATATGGACAAAATCCGCAACCTACACCTTACCCTGTGGAGAACCCGTACCCCACCATCCAACATAGTCCATATCATCAGTCACTCCATCAACATCCTCCACATTATCTTCCACCTTCACCCGACGTGTCTCACCGTCCCTATTATCAGGCACCACTGGCAGCACAGCCCCCAAATTTCCCTTCCTGGCCGCAATGGCCGCCTGCATTCCCACCGGCCGGGTTCAACGGGCCTTCTCATCCAAGACAAGCACCAGCCAACCTTGTGAACTCGGATGGGTCGGAAACTAAATCCTTGTTCATCGGAAATGTCGGATTCAAGGTCACTCAGAAGATGATCCAGAATGTGTTTGCTTCCAAGGGCTTTATTGTCGAAGTTGATCTCCCAATGGATAGTGCATCGGGGAAACATGCAGGCTTTGGCTATGTCCATTTCCCCGGGTCTCATGCAGCATTCGCTGCAATGGAAGTATTGCAAGGTGCTCTCATCGACGGTCACTCCATCAACCTGGAGCCCATGCACCACCCAAATACTGAAATGGTGCGTGCTGCCCAAAATGGATCATGCGGCAGAACAAGCGTTCGCACTTCTCGGCCCAGGCACGAGAATAGGGCAAACCGTCGCAGAAAGTCCGTCACCTTTGTGGAACATTCAGGTCATGTTGATGCTGGCTCTGCTCGGCCTGACTCCCCCGCGTTGCTTGACTCTCCAAGCGATGACCCTGGGTTCAGCGCACGATTTCCATCGCTCCAGCCGGTGAAGAATGAACAGTCTAACACTCCCTCAAATGGCCAAGGAACATCCCCGCCTGTGAACCCCAATAAGGAGATAGAGATGACTCGGTTCCCACCCGTGTCTCAATTGGATGCTCTTCTTCTTACGGGCCAGCAAGAGGCCCCAAAAGCGCCATCCACCGCTGGTCGGCCAAGTGAATCAGAAGACCTCCACGTGGGACTTCCTACACGTAGTTTATCATCGCAATCTACTCCAAAAGATCTTACTCCAAAAGATCTTACTCAAGAGACTCAATCTACCGCCAACGGGGATGCAACCGGCAACATGTTGCAGGTGATTGATACCGGACGGCCCTTGGATCACAACAGTCCAAACGGGAATTCCAACACTATGGTGGTGATGCGCCCAGCAACAGATTCCCATGAAACCTCGATTTCCCCACTGAAGCGCCGGGCAACCGAACGCCAAGAACGCCGGTCAAGTGCTCGTTCCGTGGAGAGGGATACATGGGCGCGGCTTTCTAGAAGAGAACGAACAAGATCATTCTCTCGCCAACAGGTCCCTGGTGGATTCCCGGTAGAGGAAACAGCGCTGCCTACAACTGACTCGAATGCCGAACAGTCTTCGGAGGCAGTTGACCAGTGCGTCTCCGCTCTTGTCGGTATGGGCTACGGAACTGAACAGGAGGGTGGACGATCCAGGATGACCGTGTATGCGGCTGCCGCCAACGGTAGCCTCCTGGATGCGATTGATATGATTGAGGAGGAAAGAAGGGCTTATGAACGACGCGCTTCGCAGTGATCTATTGCTCCCCGGTTGCTTAATGGTTTCGGATTGTAGATGTATCAGACACTCTTTTATCTTGTGCTTGGCGTTGTTGGAACCTTGACCTTCATTCAATATGAACACTCAGTTTGTGACCACTATAGCGTGGGAAATTCAATTCTTGCTCTCTAATTGTATTCCCATGGCTTAAACATAGGTAATAGAACAAATAAGTAACGTTAATCGGGATTCGTAACAATTTAGCTCTGGCGGGAATGCTAATCGGACGATAAGTTTTCCCTTGCCCGCAATCTCCGAGCATCCAACCTCAACTTCACCAGCAATGCAGATATGGCGGCGATCCTTCGCTACGTCTGTTGCCAGACTTAGCAACAGCTCGGCGACTCGTCCTTCTATTTCACGATGCGCCCAGATCCTCCAAGCTAGCAAGGGTGGGACCTGCAGCTTCGAAGACCAGGAAGTCAGAGTGAACGGCTTCATCCGTTCTGTGCGGAAACAGAAGCGCTTTGCCTTTGCGGAGATTTCTGATGGCTCGACCGTGGAGCCAATGCAGGCAATCCTGAAACCTGCGCAAGCAGCAGAGTATGTTTGACCTTGCATGAGAGCTGCAATTTCCCTTCGTCAAACAAATCTAACTCGAGCACCTTCTTCTAGTCTATCAACGGGAACAGCGGTCGAAATATCAGGGGTGTGGAAAGCTTGTCCACCGGGTAAGGAGCAGACTCACGAGCTTCAAACAACCGACGTAACGGTCGTCGGCGCATCGGACCCGGAGGTGAGTCAACCTTCAATCACTGAAAGACCTACAGACCAGCTTACTATGGTATCTCTGGTCACAGACATTTCCAATTCAAAAAAAATACCACAGCCCCGATTTCCTGCGCCAAATCCCTCATCTTCGCATCCGAACACCCTTCAATTCCCTCCTCGCGCGCTTCCGGTCCGAGTGCATGTTCCAGCTAGGCAATGTCTTCCACTCCCACCCAAATGGCGCCTTTACACAAGTCCAGCCTCCGATCATAACATCCTCGGACTGTGAAGGGGCTGGTGAAACGTTCACATTGGCACCGCGTGGTGCCGCTGCTACACCCAGCGCCGAGAACGAGCATTTCTTCCGAGCACCTAAATACCTCACTGTGTCGTCGCAATTGCATCTGGAAGCTTATGCGGCGGAGCTAGGCAATGTCTGGACATTAACACCAGTATTTCGGGCCGAGAAGAGTGATACACCACGCCACCTCAGCGAGTTCTACATGCTCGAGGCTGAAGTCAACTTCATGTCCGATCTCGACTCGCTTACCAGCCTGGTGGAACACATGCTACGCGATCTGACGCGTCGCCTATATAATACTACAGTGGGCCAGGAGATCCTGTCGGCTAAGCGGTCTGGTGAGCAAGGCCAGGAGAGTAACGCCGAGGAAACGATCTCTTTGCGACAGCGGTGGACTGACCTGATGGATGGTCCGAAATGGGACCGCATAACATATACGCAAGCCGTGGAAATGTTGCAGCGTGCTGTTACTGAGAAGGCGGCATCATTCGAACATCCTCCGACGTGGGATGGAGGCCTTCAGCTCGAGCACGAAAAGTACATCGTCGAGGAACTCCACCAGGGCCGTCCAGTCTTCGTCACGGACTACCCGAAATCCGTTAAGCCATTCTACATGGCACCTTCCCAGGTTGTCGAAGATTCCAATACGCCCGGTGAGACAGTAGCGTGCTTCGATCTCCTTCTCCCGGAAGTCAGTGAGGTTGCCGGGGGTTCCCTACGTGAACACCGTCTGCCTGAACTTATCCAGAACATGCGTGAGCACGGGTTGATCAAGGCTCGAGAGCTTCCAGAGTCGGGGGATTCAGCCTCGCTTGAGTCGCTATATCCTCATCTTTCTCCCACCGAGGATCTGAGTCACCTTCAATGGTATGCTGACCTCCGACGCTGGGGCTCTGCTCCTCACGGAGGGTATGGGCTTGGCTTTGATCGGTTCTTAGGATACTTGAGTGGCGTTTCTAGTGTCCGGGATATTGTTTCTTTCCCGAGATACTATGGTCGGGCTGATTGCTGATGTGTATAAATTAGCTTGTATGATAGATCTGTAATATAGTATGCATCGAAACTGGGAATAGATTGGCAGGAGAGCAATTAAACCCGACAGGAGAGAGATTTTGGTTGGTTCTACGATTTGCTGCAGCATGATACTCTCGGCCAGCTGTATAGCTTCTGAAACCACAGCTAATTTAACCTAAAATTCTGACTGGGTCTTTCAGTGGTCTATACAATATTTGAACACCAGTTGAATCTGACCGGTCGTTTCGAATATGTTTATGACCGGTTTATGAGGTCCGCAAAAAGCGCCGCGGAAATATCAGTAGAGCCGAGCTCCAAGCATGAAAGAAGAGGCCAGTTTGCACCGGAAAGCCCGGCACAGGCCCGTCCGTAAGATAAACCATTTAAATTTCTATTAGAGCTAAATTTCCTCAAATAGCGCGATACGAAAGAATAGACATATATGATACGAGCTGACAAATATATGTATTGCATCGGACGCCTCCAAAGAAGCTCAGATAGAGCTTGCATTTACCCATTTAACAGACACCTCCCCCCTAAGCACGGATCATAAATCATGAATTAAGTCACGCAATAAGCAATAGATAAATAAACCAGGACAAAACCCATAAAACTCCAATCTAAGAAACAAAGCATAGACCAAACCCAAAGTAGGACGATATACGGAGTCAAATCCGCCACTAGAGCCACCAGAGCCTCCGCCGCGCCATATACCCAAATTGCGACTAGCCAGAAATACAAGTCTCATACATTGCGTACAACTACCAAACGCTAAAACAGAGCTTGCATATGCTCACCGGGAGCGCCCGGTCCCCCGGCCTTGATTGCACATACGGGTACATGGACATGGACAGTTTACCCGGCCCCCATGCCCACCCCACGACGCAGCCTAGTGATCGTCCTAGGCCCCCAAAGGCCAAGGGTGACTATACTAAGACTAACTGCACTTACGCAATATTACGCAAATGAAGGATTAATATCGACAGGGGTGTTACTGTAAAGGAGGCCTCGGATCTCGTCTTCGTTTAAGCTAACTTTTAACTTTTACGTACTAGACTACTAGACACAGAGAGTCGGCGATAGAGTTCCGATCGATGCAAATAAACATGGGTTAAGGCTGACAGGGTTGAGGTTCGCTGACAGTGCATGTACCGCATCTTTAATCCTCAAAGATGGATATGTTTATACATGTATTTGTATTGTATGATTGCATGGATATTTACGCGCAAGGCTGAGTACTGTACGGTACAAGGATGATCAAACCTAATACGAAACAACTGCACAGCACGGACGAAAGAAATGGAGGGGGCCGGAAAAACCGTGGATGTAGGCTTGGCAAAGGTCAAAGGATTGCTTCCTGCTACATTAGTGTAGAGTAACAGGGATGACCGTTTCATGATTGAAGTAAACCAGACGCATATAGAATGTGTATGGCCAAGGTAGGTTATCGCACAACATGTATGTACAGCATGTAGATACTCCATCGCGTACAGTAAACCGGAAAGCTGATCCTATCTCAGGAATACTGAATTATGGGCCGGAGCTCTCGGGCCCCAAGCAAGGCCAAGCACTGTAGTCTGGAATGAGGCGTCCATAGAGCGAATGTAAAAAAATGGGACGGGGGCCACTAGGGCAGATTGATTATAAATAGTGGAAACTCGGAGGCCAAAAGAACAGATAAGAAGATTATTGTAATATCGACTGTAATATAGAGAGGAATGATCGGATTTAAGGATATTCGGCGTCTCCGTCACAAAACGTGGGCTCGGAGTGGGTTTGCACTGGATTTTGGCTTTTCGGATGTCGCTTATGGTGCCGACGGTTTCACTTATAATATTAGGGTCTACTCTGTACAGTGCAGTATATGCAGTCTACAGTACGGAGTACTCTGTACTCCATAGCAGCGTAACTATTCTATTCCTTGGTGTGGTAAAGGAAGCACAGCCTTAATCTAATAGACTTGCCAGGCGAGCACTAAATCCTTACCAATAAGGAGGGCAGGATCAGCAGGCCAAGGGGCCCCAACCTTACCAGGGTTAAGCATAAGCAAAAGAAGTTCGGGCTCTGTCCGCCTTGTACGAGTCATGCAGTACATCCCTGGCCTGACGTATCACATTGGATGCGCACAGAACAGTAGACAGAATGCCAAAATGATTAACCGGAAATAAAGCAATAAAGTAAAGTAAAAAAAAAAAAAAAGGACTCGTATTCGTTTGATAAAGTCTCCGAGAGTAAGACGAGGGAGGCTAATGAAATAAAGGTAAACGGCTAAAGAAAGTCAAGCCACTTCCCATGGTTCATAGGGGAAAACTGGATTTTAGGCTTCGATGACAACCAGAACCGGGTCTAGGGGGCCACCTAAAATTGGCCCCATCAGGCTTGGCAATGCCCAGGCACCATTCACGGTCGGAAAACTCTTGGAGCCAAGAATTTGAGGGGGATAATGTTGTCATCTGTACTCTGTAGGCACCAGCGTTGTAGAAATGATAGACCAGACTAAAATGAGACCCTGGAAGTTAATATGCAATGAAACAGCACATTCCCTCTCCGGACACCTTAATTATGCTAGTGGAGATAAGCTCGTGTGACGTTTCACAAAAGTAGTTCTTGGCAACCTTTAATTCATTTTAAATTAACAGACAATGTGTACTGTAAACGGATCGGAGATTATTGAAATCCTGTGGAGTAGTAGAGGTGAATAATAAAGAAAGCGAAGCACGAACCTGTCGGCAAAACCGTCGGCTCAGCCCGCAAGGGCCTCGGATGATATAGTTGCAGTAGTTGTGGAGCCAGATCCACCAGCCAAAAAAGGAGGGCTCGGATGATCGGATAGAGGCTACAGTAAGAGTATCGGAACACCGGCCATAAGCCGAGCTTCTGGTACGACCCTTGACAGGTCTACTACAGCGCAAGTCAGGGATAGGGATAGGTTTTGGTACAACAGGTAAGAACAGCGAGATGGACACATTTAATGATTTTCGGCTGGGGGAAATGAAAGACATCGCACTATCCTAATATAGTAAGACTTGCGGGATCCCGGCTGTTAGGCGGATTCAGGCGATCTTCAGGAATACAGTGTAAAGAAAAATAAAATAACCAACGGAGGCCCGAGCTTCGGGCATAAAAGAAGTTCGCATCGGATGCATAACTTCGCGTAAGGGAGACATGTGGTGATTCGTGGTACTGTTATGCTTATTTATTTGTGGGACAGCCAATGATATTGTCGCATAGGCGAGCTTGGAATGATCAGCTCGGATTGAAAGACTCTTGGAGTCTATATTAAAGTAACCCTGGAACACTCGCATTATAAAACTATACTCGAGCTTGTTTCGACGGTACCACCTTACACACTCCGCAGACCTGGTAGATGGAAGATCGGATCACGGCAATGTCAAGTCACACTGGAAGGCGCCATGTGAGACACTGCAGAGTCCAACACATGGACCCCTGGTCTTAAGCCAAGGAGAAATATCAGCTGCCAAGGGTAACCAGCCCCCGAACCCTATTAAAGTGGCTCTTGTGCTACGGGGGTTTGTTGGCGATACGCTTAGTCTGTGCGCCGAAAAGAGGATATGGTGTCCAAAAAAAGAATGCAGAGTCCACAAGGCTAGGGAAACACTTAACCTTATCGCTGAGTCAAGGTGTCAGCCACGACTCAGTCGAATCTTGGTCGGATCGTGGCTGCACAATGATAAATATCAAAAGCCTAACATTGTTTATTGGTATGAGTGAGCCAATCAGTGGTGAAAGCCGGCACTGTTCGGTGATCCTGTTACGTGGCTTCTACTTTGCATTATCTATATACGTACACCTCTACCATGGACACTTCCTTTTCACAAATTCGGATCAGGCCCTTGTCAAGTTTTGTGGTCAGCGCAGGTAGAATTAAAACACGGCGTCACTGGATCAAATACGAGTGCGAGTCACGAGGGATATATAATGGCCACTGTGGCTTATTTACAGGTGTCTAGAACACTGTCAAAGATCAACGGATATACGTGTATCCAAGGGATAAAGTGTAAGGCGGACAGAACCGCACATTATTAATCCGAGTGGATTTCTCACGTTAATCACCGTTTTGGAATATTTTATGTTATTTATTACTTTATTTTATTAACAAATAGCCTTTCCAAGAAAGCCTAGACGCCAAGCGTGGAGGCCTCTGTAAGCGAGCATAAAGTTCAGCGCCGGCCTCCTCGTGTTGGATTAAGCTTAAGAGTTACGCACTAACCTTCTTTTTGCGATCAGAGCGCCACTTTTCTGACACAGAGCATTTTCCTTATTATTCAGCTCACATTTTTCCTTTTCTTTCCTTTTTCTTTTTCTTTTTCTGTTTTTCTTTGTATTTGTAATTGTATTACCTATCCTTTTGGAATGGAGAAGGGGCTTTATAGGCAAAGGTTAGGTTCCAAGTTCTCATGGAATGCCTTGGCTTATACTCTGTATAGGCTCCAAAATACTGTGCCACTCGCCACCCCCAGTGAATTATTCCAAGGTTCCCATGCAATAAGTTAATTTCCTTAACTCCACCGTATTACAATTAAATCTCGGCGTTTAGCAAGTTCCGATCTTTTCGCTTGGATTGCTTGGCCTCTCCGCCTCTCTTATTTAACCTTCTTTTTTGTCTTTTTATAAAGTTCACCCTGAATAAAAGAGTGAGCTTCTCCTCCTTTCTTTCCTGTCTTCTTCTTTTCCCTCCTTGAAAATTCTAGCTTAAGCCATTCAGTGGAGCACAGTAAGGCCCCCCTTCTCTTTGTATCCTTTTCAGCCTTGGCTCTCTCCCTTGTGGCTCCCCCCACTACACAATCTCTGCAGGCTTCCCCTTTCCCTTTTTGGCCAGAAAAAAAGAATTTAAAAAAAAGATTAAAATACTTCTAATCGGGTTGGGCTCGGATTTATCGGTCAACTCAGCCTACCCCATACACTTGATTTCCTTTTATATTTGGAGACCTGCCTGAACCCTATTTTCTCTCTCTCTCCACTTCCGCTTTCTAACGCTCATAGTTACCTAGCTCTCCTATTTTCTTCAAATCTGGCCATTAAAGCAAACTACACAGGGTCGGTTGACTCGAGAGGTTGGATGGAGACGTACTACGGGCACGTCCGCACACCTGCGGACGCTATTATTCTATTTGAGGCTTGTCGCATCGGCCTTTTACCACGAGTACAAAGACGACTTTCAGAAAAAGAGCGACAGTCGATCCGATCTGGCTCGGTCTTTGTATGGGATGAGCGCGAAGCGGGCATGCGACGATGGACCGACGGAAAGTCATGGAGCGCAAGCCGTGTGTCGGGGAGTTTCTTGACCTATCGGGAAATGGAAGGCAAGCGTGGAGGTGGTGTAGCCCAGAGTTCTTTACAACGAGGGGGCAAGACTCCTGAGAGTCGGGGCAGCGATGAAGATCGAGGCGATGGGACGGATGAGGGACCGGATGGGTACCGATACAAGCCCGATGGCTTGATGAAGCAGTCTTTCAGTATCACGACTTCCAACGGTCAACACTTGCATTTGATCAGCTACTACTCGCGCTCTCACCCCTCTGCCGCCAACCTTCAACAACCAACATCCGACCCGGCGCTGCGCCATGTCCGCCCCCAAAAGGGTCTCTACCCTGAGTCGACAGTCAATGATCAACAAAACCTCCCGGTCGTGACTCGCGGACCCATGCAAGGTGCTTCCTATCCGATTACGCCTCATCCCATCGGCGCTTACCAGCGCGCCACCCATGCACCACCATTCCCGCAAGGCTATGCATGGCCCCCAACTCCCCTGGCCACACCCCCTACAATTTCAGTTCCATATGGCGCCCAGTATCTTCCCCCGATGGCAGCCGCTGGACCCCCTCCATATGGCCCACCACACCACCAACCGCCGCCACATCAACATTCTAACCTTCCACCACCTCCACACGGGATACCCGGTCCATATGAAAGGCCACCCCACGTCGAGCCGGCGCTACCCCCAGGTGGACCCCCTCATCAGCCCTATGTAACCCGGTCGCCGAGATCAATGCACGACCACTCACACGAGCAACGAAGTCCCCCGGTATACGGGCATGCGATGGCTGATCCGCGCGTAGCTTCATCTCCGCGAGTACCAGTGCAGCCCTTGGTGCAGCCCAACGGACACACACACAGTCCCCGCCTACCGAAACAGGAGCACCCCGCATTGCAGCCTCTCAACTCCATCGGCACATCACCAAAGCCCCTGGACCCGAGTGCCGGCAATGCAGTCCCGGGTATCAGCTCATTGGTGAACGGCGCTGCGCTGGCTCCTCTTTCCGCATCGACTGCTCCACCCCCTCCCAGTGCCGTAGCAAACCCGAACGGAGCACCCGCCCAGGGGTCATCCGGCGAGGGGCCGCGCGACATCCCGAACGAGAAAATCGGATTCGGAGGCGAGGACATGAGAGCTCTGCGTCAGCTAGATCGGGCCTTTATCGCATGAACGAACCGCTTCTTCCGGTCTGGATATCACACCAAAACCAAAACCAAAACAAGAGAATGGAATATCTCCGACTCGTCTATCTGGTTGATCTAGTCGACCATCGAGTCTTGTCTTTCTGCCTGTTGCTCTGCTTGCCATGACTTTTCTCTTTCTCTCGTGGGATGCCTTGCTTCTGTTGCTGTAATCCAGTGATATCCTTCCTGTCTATTATTTCTATTCTATCTGCTTTCTTTGTCATATTAGCATTTTGCATGGACCGGGGCACTTTGCATGTTTTCCATTTTTCTTGTATGATCGGGTCATGGTCATGGCTTATGGGTAGGGGTCCTGCTTTCATACATTATGCATTGGGATCGGTTTTATATATTCGGGTTCACGGCTGTGGGTTACTTGTATTTAGTCAATTTGACTTGCTTTTATACTTCTATCTTCTTTTGATTGTAGGTTCTGTGGACTGAGTTCCTCGTTATTGGTCTTGGCTTGTTGCAGTGGTCATGCCTCGGGGTTTTCTATCCTCGCTGTCCGGGATGTGAAGACGTGAAGGGAGATACAGGGAGGTTGAATAATCTGAATTTGACTTGCGTTGCTGTACAAAATGTGCTTCTGAAAGCACGGGCTTGTTCCTCAATGCGAAGATGGAAGTCACGCTTCATGTCGTCCTCCCCTTCCTCCTCTTCCTCTTCCATCATTTTGCCGTCTCCTTCTTCCCACCTCTTCCCAAGAAGCCAGGGCTGGGGTCTTCTCCGGGAAATTACAGGCTTGACGATCATCAAACAGTGTCGCGGCATGTCTAGAGGCACATTATAGTCTCTCCTCTCCGCGAGTCACACTTTCCCGCTAGGACTTTGTCAACTGCTTGCCTTTGGCAAAAATCAAAACGAAATGAATTGTGGACCGAGGCGTCGGAAACAATGTTACGAAGATTAGATTCTGGGGGAAGATGTACATGCTGCTCCTCGAACTGTCAGAGAAATGAGAGTCGACCAGACCACCACGAACGGATCAAGCAGCACCTTGCTCATCAAGATGAGTATCGATGAGGTATACATTGCTGGTGAATATGAGGCGGAGCAGAAATTCTTCCGTTAGGGTCAGCTGTCATCTGTTCTTCATTATTGGGAATGGCAGGCTAACGCTCACATCACATCCTCATGAAATAGCCTGAGACTCTTCGCCTTTACCCTTCGACGCTCAGATTTCGGTCAAGGATTGTCATTGCATCCAGCGATTGTGAAAGAGTCTCACATTTTTGGCGTATTTCGTGTGGCCAGTGCATATCACAACATATGAAGGACTCGACACAGCCTCTCCTAGACCAATGCAGAATAAGCCCGCCATACGTGTGCCCTTCATTCGGGTTGACTTGATGACTATAGCGGTTGCATGACTCGAAGCTCTGGACCAGGACTACATCAGTCAGAGTGTATCGGCCGTTATTCAGGTGGTATAATTACCCGTGAAGAGTGCATGTGGCGACAAATGAACATCTTGTCCTGTCTCGTCTGCGAGAAAATCGGTAACAGTGTCACTGCCATCATCTCTATGCCATCGCATCCTCAGCACTGCATGAAATCCCGATATACCAGCAATGCCTTTCAGGCCCGAGTCATCGGGATTATACATGAGCAGCATGTCCCTCATGACATCTTGAGCGGAAGCAGTCACGACGATTCCTATATCCAGGTCGATCGCACCTTGCAACCATATTATGCGACCCCAACTCCCGACAACGCCGGGCCATGGCTATATGGGATGATATAATGCGACGTTCTGAGCTATTCTCAGTATTCTCGGTCATGTCAGCAACCCAAATGGAGACACTGAGTGCAGCCCCCGTATGAGACGGTAAGCCTATATGCAGTGACGCTGACTGACCTTCAGATTAATTGCTTAGGATAATAACAACAAGATTGTAGTGGTCGAAGCATCTTTCAACATGGAGAGTGTTTCTACCAGACTGCAGGCAACACCCGTCCATACAGGAATCTGCAGAAACACCATCGACTCGTAGTGTTAATGTCTTAGAGAAGCAAAAGTAATGAAGACACCATGATCTATTCCTCGTAGCCCGCAGTTGCGGGCCCAATGGCTCAATTCCGTCACCACTGGAAATCTCACTCTTGACTCCCACATTCTGTCACAGTCACCGTCAGTCATAAGGGCAAGTCGCCCGATATAGTTCACTTCAAACCTCTGCGAAAAGCCTGTCTGCGCTTCTGAAATTTATGCGGCTGGTACACCGATTGTTTCAATCTCCAGAAAGCATCTGCTTATGAAGTGTATGCGATAGCGATCGCAGGAATCAGGCCCACTTTCGGATCTACCCGTGGACATGCAAGTCACTGAGATCATGGTTGAGAGATAGTGCATGCTAACGGAACAAAAGATAGAAATCCAATCTCCAAGTATCAAGCTCAATGGGATATGAATAGCATGGTAATCAACTAGGCTTAGAGGCCCAAGACCACTGATCACCCGGAAGCGCCACAAAACGGGGGTGAAATCCTTCGAGCTTCTGCAATCCCAGCATGGCTATGAACAACATTTAGGAGTCCGGAAGCGAGCGAAAAAGAGCCCCTAGAACTCAATTTAAGTTTCTCTTCGAATGCGAGCAGTCAAATCTCTCACGCGAACAACACTAAGGGTGCCCCAGGGCGATTGGCGCCACAATGCAACTAGCAAGCTTTCCAATGGTTCGTGGACAACCCGATCTCCGCGGGACCGGGCATTCCCAACGATGAAACTTTGAGGCGTCTGCGCCTCCTATTTACCCGGTATCCCGGATTGGGATATTAGCGAAGATCCAAGTGCTACAGTAGTGGCATATAGGGAATAAACCTTGGCAACCCCAGCCGAACAAAGACAACCCTTCTATTCGCCAGCGCTAAAATAGGATCTAGCTATAGTTGGCCCTAAAGTAGGAGGACGTGCATATATATACACCCATCTGCATAATATATTGAATAGTACCATAGAAGCGGGATAACTAGATCCCTTTTCCATTCGGGTAAAGAGGCGCGAATCCGACAGGCATTAACAGTAACAGTAACAGTAACAGGCCTTGACACAGTCCTTGTTTGTCAAGCCTGCATATCTGCGAGTTTGCTCGACACAGTGCCACTCACGGAATGTTCATTTCTTTCTCGTAATATCCTGACACATATTCTAGATGGGCCTTTTACGGCCTAATTCTGAAACCTCCACAGATCACCGTGTGACTCTGACCCTTGATTTCCGCTTGTTCCGCGCTGGGGTGCGGTTGAGGCTGGAAAACTAAGCTGGGCCGACGTTAGATCAAGTTGAGAGAGACGACATAAATTGTGTTGAACTGACTAAGTTATTGTGAACAGTCTCATTGGAGTTGGTCTGTACTGGGCCAATGAGAGCGCTTGGTAATAAGCTAGGGGATTTTGGAAAAAGTCGGGTTTGGCTCTCTAGGGTCTCCATAGTCTAGTCTCCGTCTCCATCTCCATACATGAAGCTCCATAGCGGACTCACACGGCCCATATGTACCTGCGGGATTTCGCTGCGAACACAAACAATGATATACAGGTCCGCGTGCCTGTGTCAAGCCATCTCGGAGCAAGCCCGAAGCGATGCTACTAAAATAGGAAATCACCCCCCACACCTGCATAGAAGGACAGAGAAAGTGTGCAAGGAGAGAGGGTGATTGGGCAGAAGGGAAGAGGTCAAAGACAACTTCGGTTGACCTGCTGTGTTGGGCGATGGTCAGGTGGCCCACTATGGGACTTTTGCCCTCTATATACCTCAACTACAGCACTTCCCCCTTGCGCTCTCCGCATTCCCAGGTGTCAATGTCAACTTTTTCTTTTCTATTAATGTTACTATGTGAGCATATACTTCGGCACCCCACTGAGGCGGGAACAACCTTACAGTAGATCCATCTTTCGGCTCGGGTCTCTGTATGTTGTAAAGGGAGCCAGCGTCTGTTCTCCATATTTGAGCCCCTAAACTCAGCCAGACCAAAGTCCGCAGAGCACGATTGGCCTAGATTGGTGCCAATGGACTTGCAGATGTCGATCCAACTTTCCTAAGTTGTGGGTATCCCGTAAAAGCTCGTACCTGGGCCAGGCAACTAGACTAGCAGGGGGTATGAAAATCAGCCTAGCGTGGCTTTGGGCCGTTTCAGCTGGTTAAAATTGCTAAACGGGCTCTGGAAACAGCTATTTCCTTGTTGGTCCTCCGGCAGATGAACTCTCTCTTGCCACATTCCACCCCTTTTCCCTACCTGTATTCATAGCCCATTGTTAGTCCATAGCACTCGATTAATTGTGTGTATACTCCGTACTGATTGTACTGTAACCTTGTTGATTCCCTGCAGCGGATGTCCGTGCTGTTTAGACGATCTGGCCCACTTCCCCAGATTGTGAGAATTTCATATCTGACGGATGTAAGGCGCTTAGGCCTTGGGAGTGTCTTTCCCATTCCGGTCTGAGTTTACTCGTAGTGTGGGGGCTCGTCAGCTTAGAATGGTTCGTCATGCGTCACTACACATGATCAGTATAAAAAATTTAGAAAGTCAGGAAAGTTTAGTCTATTTCCTTTGAGAAATGATCAAGGGGGGTAGGTTTTACTATTACGAATCCCGCGTCATGCCATCTGCATCTCCGACATATCCCCAGATTAGGCAAAGCAAAAAAGCAAAAAAAAGGAAAAGAAAAAAACAGCCTCGTAAAATGTATTTCTTGTTGGCGTCAGATCGGCTTGGCTCCCCCGCATGAGTTAAGATGATTTTCGCATATTTCATTAGGATTGTAACAGAAGTTAACTTATACTATTCTATTATATACTATATTCTCTCCCCTCTTTGCCAAAAGTCCCTAGATCAGGTGGACCAAGCACCTTCCCCTCTTATATCCGACGAATCCTCTCCCATCCTCACTTTCTCAGCTCATGTTGTCAATGCATACCTTCTTTTCTCATATTAATAAGTCTGGTCGATCGGACTTCCCTCGTCCGAGAGGCAGCACGACTAGCAGCAGCCCTGATGATACCTCCTCCGATTCCCCCGAATGGAACGACGACAGAGTAGAGGTCTTTACACAGGAAATGGACTTACCCAAGGTGGAGGAAATCGAAGAAGATATCTTGAGCATCAAACCAGCCGAGGTGGGGGACTCGGCCGCTCCCGCCACCGTGCCACGGAAACGTGGTCGACCTCGCAAACATCCATTGCCAACAGGCGCCAAAGTCACCAAAGGTCGCTCCAAGACCGGCTGTATCACCTGTCGCAGGCGCAAGAAGAAATGTGACGAGACAAAACCTGCGTGAGTCCCCTTGCTGCTGGATGCGATCTTGGCTAACGTGGTCGCAGATGCCTAAACTGCCAGAAGAATGCGGTCGTCTGTGAGGGCTACCCACCCAAAGAAATCTGGAAAAGTGGGAGACAGAAGCTGGCCAACGGTAAGGGAAGATTGCGATTCCAACTGCTTGAATTAACACTGACTCGATTCCAGTCGTATCCCAGTCCCTTGCAGCAGTGCCGCGAAGCCTACCCCTCCTTATCGACGGCATCGAAACCGACATCGACCGACGCTTCTTGGATCACTTTGTATACGGCTTCAGTCGCGTGTTGACACTCATTAATGATGACTCGAATCCTTTCAAGGAGATTCTCCTCCCGATGGCAACCCAACACCGTGGTCTGATGCATTCGCTCATGTGTCTCTCCGGGTCGCACCTGTCAGGTCTAGACCCTGAGCCGAAGCTGAAGGAGCGAAAATACTACCACTTCCATCGCGCGATTCAAGACCTCAAGGACAATATCAATGCGTCTTCATCCTCCTCCCCACAGACCCCCGATGCCGAGCAGCAACTGCTGGTGGAAGACCCTATAATAGCATCCACCATCGCTCTGAGCTTGAATACCATCTGCGAAGGTGAAACCAACGGCGAATACCGCCCGCACATGGATGCCGCCCGGTATCTGTTGGTATCACAGCAACCGCGGAACGAAAAGTTCCGCCAGTTCATAGTCGAGTTCTTCCAGTACCACGATGTCTCCAACTCCCTCACCTCGCTGGACCGACGCCCAGCTCTCTTCCACAGCAACATGAACATCCCCAACTTCGTCCCGGGCGCCTCGGCGGGTATGTTCGTAGGCGTCTTTGATGGACTTTTCAACTACATTTCCGAGATTACCCAACTACGCGACCGCATTCGTCAGCGCATGAACGAGGGATACGAGCCAGCCGTGGACTACCAGACTCTCAGCGAGGCTGTTTCTATTGATACGGCTATCCGGAACTGGGAAACATCCCACGAGCCGGACACCCCAAACTGGTGCCTGGCCCAGCTGTACCGCCAAACCACCTGGGTGTATCTATACCGAACTATCCGGCCCTCGCGACCAAGTGAAAAGATCGCCCAGGTGGTCGATGATGGCCTAGGCTATCTTGATCAGCTGCCACAGGATGCGGGTGCTTACAGTATCGTGCTGATGCCACTGTTCTTGCTCGGTTGCTCGGCATTTGTGCCCGAGCAACGTGAACGTTTAAGAACGGGCTTTGAAAATCTCAAGTCCTACTCCAACCTGCGGAATATCGAGCCTGCTTTCAAGGTTGTTTCGCGGGTTTGGGAGATTATGGATACTAATATCGAGGATAGTTGGGACTGGGAGAAGATTATCTGTGATATGAACATGGATTTCCTGATCACTTGATTCTCCTGCCTTTTGTTCTTCTCCTTTGATACCCCTTTCCTTTTCTTCTCTTCTCTTGTTCTCTCCACATTTTCATTTCTCCTGTCTGATTTTTCGACTACCGTCGTCCTGAAGGCGTTTTCAATTTTTGCTGCACTGCAGAGCATAATGATTATTCCCCGGGCTTTTACTTTTACTTTTACTTTTACTTTCTTTCCTTCTTACTGTGATTATATCTGCATTTGAGGAGGTCTGGGGGCATGTGATCGTGCTCGGGTTTTGCGAGGAACAGTGCGCCTCGTGCGTCGAAGGCGTCCCTCCGCATATTTCCAAACACAACTCCCAGCCCCAACGAAAAACAAAAAATCCCCGATTGGTGGCGGTGTGTTGCATGGCAATAGGACAGGTGTTGAGGTTGGATGATCTCACGAGTACGAGTAACGCAGGCGTTGTGGAGGATTTGGGATGGGGGACTGTGATTCTGGTGATTGGTTCAGGTTGTATATATCGTTTTTCCTGGGGTTTCTACATGCATTGGCAAAGAATAGGAAATAGGCTTTTCTCTTTGTATAGTGCGGGTTGTGGTTACAGATGTATTCATGTACAGTATGAGTCCAGATTCCGGGGATCTGCCCCCTTACTTTATTTGACTTCATTTTATTGGGTACATTTGCGTATACAGTTCAGAGTAGCAGTATCATATTAATCTGCTCATGTGTAATTCACAGTGGCAAGGTGACACCCTGTACGATCATTTGATTACAGCTCCTCGCTTATGCAAGGACCCCACGTTATGGATGATTCGCCAATCACACGTGGCTTGGCTTGGCTTGAGTCCGGGGGAGGTCAAGGAGAATTATCTTTCTCTATTGTTGTTGGCTGCTAGCTGCAGTCGGGTTCTCACTCCGCGGTCATCTAAACCCTGCAGTCTCGAGTTCTGGCCCAAACAGGGATCAAATCCTGCAGAAACAAACCACTTTACTCCGAAATAATGTAGAGCGGTCAATGACCCAATCTCACTGCATCACTGTACATCCAATGTTCCAACCCCAGACATGGAAAAAGACGAAATCGAATTAAGCGTCGTGAAACAGCCGACGCCGCATCTGCAGGATGCAGGAGATGCAGCCAACGACCTCTCCTTCCGCGCCGTCAACTCGACAGACATAACGGTGACCAACCTCTCCCTCAAAGTCAACACCACACCACCAACATGGGCACCAATATGGAAATTGAAACAACGGCTACACAGCCACAGCCAGCCAACAGAAAACACCAAAACAGTCTTATCCAACGTCACCGCCTCAATGCCAACAGGAACCCTAACCGCAATAATAGGAAGCAGCGGCTCAGGCAAAACAAGTCTGCTAAACCTAATGGCCAACCGAATGAACCTCTCACGCACCCAAGTCCAAGTCTCAGGCAGCACAGCCTTCAACAAAACCCAGGGCATCAACCACATCCGCAGCGCATACGTCATGCAAGAAGACGTCCTAATCCCAACACTAACAGTCCGCGAAACACTGCGCTACTCCGCAGATCTGCGCCTGCCCCCGCCAACAACAGCGGCTGAGCGCCATCGTATCGTTGAGCAAGTCATCCTCGAGCTAGGGCTTAAGGAATGCGCTGATACCCGCATCGGGACCGCAGCGCATAAAGGCTGCAGCGGTGGCGAGAAGAGGCGCGTTAGTATTGGCGTGCAGCTTCTTTCTAATCCGTCTGTTTTGTTCTGTGACGAGCCTACCACTGGGTTGGATGCTACGAGTGCGTTCCAGATTGTGAGGACGTTGAAGAGGTTGGCGAGGGATGGAAGGACGGTTGTTGTTTCGATTCATGCGCCTCGGTCGGAGATTTGGGGACTTTTTGATCGGGTCGTTTTGTTGGCGAGAGGGGAGGCGTTGTATAGTGGGGAGGTCGACGGGGTTTTGGGGTACTTTGCCGAATTGGGATTTGCGATTCCTGAGTTTGTGAATCCGGCGGAGTTTTTGATTGATCTTGCTGCTGTTGATCGGAGAAGTGAGGAGCTGGAGGGGGCTTCGGTTGCAAGGGTTGAAGGGTTGACAGAGGCGTGGAGGGTGAAACAGGCTGCCGATGCTGTGGTGGATGAGGGGGCGGGTGAAGAGAAGATTGTGTCGACTTCTGTCGATGCTGAGGCTGGGACGATGAAGAGAGTTTCATTTCGTCGGCAGTTTCGTGTTTTGACTTCTCGCACTTTCACAACTACTATTCGTGACCCGATGGGGGTTGCTGGTAGTCTGCTTGAAGCCATTGGAATGGCAGTTATCAATGGGTGGATTTTCTTGCAGCTTGATGAAAGCCTGGCGGGCATTCGTTCTCGAGAAGGTAGTCTCTACACTGCCAGCAGCTTGAATGGGTATCTCATTCTATTGTATGAGACGTACCGTCTGACCATCGACATACGACTCTTTGATCGTGAACGCAATGAAGGCGTGGTCAGCGTGCCGGCTTTCCTTCTCAGTCGGCGTGCAGCTCGACTACCGCTAGAGGATCTCCCCGTGCCGTTGATATTCTCACTGATCTTCTACTTTATGGTAGGATACCGACTCGACGCAGGTCAATTCTTCATCTTCTTCGTTCTGACATTACTTACACACTACGTTGCCATCACCTTTGCTGCAGTGGCTATTGGCATAGCGCGCAGTTTCCCTGGTGCCAGTCTGGTGGGTAATCTTTGCTTTACACTACAATCCTTTGCTTGTGGGTACTTTGTTCAGTCAAATCAGATCCCGGTCTATGTGAGATGGCTAAAGTGGTGTGCATATACCTTCTACATCTTTGGTGCACTGTGTGCAAATGAGTTCATTGGACCCAATGGCTCTGAACTAGGCCAGTTTTACGACTGCCCTTATTCCAATGATCCTTCTGATCCGGCTTGCAAAGAATACACTGGCCGGTATATCATGCAAAGTCTTGGAATGCCCTCCAACTGGATCTGGCGGCCAATTGTTGTTCTGGTTGCATTTGCCGTTAGTCAATATCTCGTCGCTGGTCTACTGCTGCAATACAATCGCTTTGCTATCGACATTGCCCAAGCACGGGCAGCCGAAGGGGAGTCTACCAGCAAAGCCAAAATTGCAATCCGCCCAACAGAAGAGACACGCAAGGTTGCCATCTCGCTTGATCAGTACGCATTGGAGATTCGGAAGAGACGATTTCCCGGGCGAGCTGCGCAGAAACTTCAGATCCTCAGGCCCATCACCACAGAGTTCCAGCCAGGTCAATTAAACGTGATCATGGGTCCGTCTGGAAGTGGAAAAACGTCACTCCTGAACTCGATAGCGCGCAGGCTACACGGATCTATAGGAACCCGATACTGTGTCCACGGAAACATGCTCTATAACGGCGCCGTCCCCTCAGAAAGCGTCATCCGATCCGTGACATCCTTCGTCACGCAAGACGACGACGCTCTAATGCCCTCTCTTACAGTCCGTGAGAGTCTCAAATTCGCCGCTGGCCTCCGCCTCCCAACATGGATGACCCGAGAAGAAAAGAACCGGCGCGCCGAAGAAATCCTGCACAAAATGGGACTAAAAGAATGCGCCGACAACCTCATCGGCAGCGATCTAATCAAAGGCATAAGCGGCGGCGAGAAACGCCGCGTCTCAATTGCAATCCAAATACTCACAGACCCAAAAGTCCTCCTCCTCGACGAACCAACCTCCGGCCTAGACGCCTTCACAGCAATGTCCATTATCGAACTGCTCCACAGCCTCGCCGCAGAAGGCCGCACACTCATACTGACCCTTCACCAATCCCGCTCAGACCTTTTCACTCACTTCTCACAAGTTCTCCTCCTAGCCAGAGGCGGATATCCAGTTTACGCAGGAAGCGGCGAAAACATGCTGATGCACTTCGCTGCACTAGGCCACGACTGTCCACGCACAACCAACCCGGCAGATTTCGTCTTAGATCTAATCACAGTAGATCTCCAACAGGCCGACCGCGAAGCCGTTACCAGGGAACGTGTCCAGCATCTCATTTCTAGCTGGAGCGAGACGACCGTCGAGCTTGTGCGCACTGCATCGCAGATCGCCACGCCAGCTGAGCTAGGTAGTCTCAAGCGCCAGATGCTCTCGTTCCGCATTACATTCCCTTTGGTGCTTCATCGCTCCTTTATCAATTTCTGGCGCCAACCGCCGCTGATTATGGCGCGACTGATGCAGATTCCTGGTATTGCCATTATTATGGCTTTGTTCTTTGCGCCGCTTAAGAATAACTATGAGGCTGTGCAGTCTCGTATGGGATTTATTCAGGAATTTGCAGCGTTGTATTTTGTCGGTAAGCAGCAAGCCACCCTTTCCACTCCGTCTTACATACACTACACTACATACAGCCCGATCACTAACCTATCCGATACAATAGGCATGCTCCAAAACATAGCAATCTACCCAAGCGAACGAGACGTCTTCTACCGCGAAGAAGCAGACAACTGCTACAGCGCCTCAACCTTCCTATTATCCTACACAACCATCGAAATCCCCTTCGAAATCCTCTCCTCCCTAATCTTCGGCGCACTAGCCGCCTACGCAGACAACCTCCACCGCAGCATAACAATGTTCCTAGTCAGCGCCTTCAACTGCTTTTGCATAATAAGCTGCGGCGAGTCCGTAGGGATAATGTTCTGCACTCTTTTTTCGCACGTCGGATTCGCCGTCAACGTTACCTCGGTGCTACTTTCGATATCGACGATCCTAGGTGGCGTCATGAGCCTTAATGTTAATGATGTCTTGCAGGGCATTAATCACTTGTCGCCTATTAAGTATGCGATTGCGAATCTGGCGCCTTATTCGTTGGCTGGACAGGTCTTTTCTTGCGATGATTCGCAGAGGCTTGTTGGGGGTGCGTGTCCGGTTGATTCTGGGGAACAGGTTTTGAGGCTCTATAATTTGGATAAGGATGGGCCGATGAATGTCATGGCGCTGGGTGTTTGTACGCTTGTTTATCGGGTTGTTGCTTATGCGTTCCTTAAGGGGATGAGGTCGAGGGGTGTTTGGGGGTGGTGGAGGGGGTTGTGGGCTCGTTGGAGATCTGTTGATGGTTGATAGATGGTATGTAGCTCAATGCTATTCTGTGACTTTTATTCCGTGCTGTGGATGCAGGGGTGGACGTTAGACTAGGGAACTGTGGTTTCCTAGGAAGTACATCGTGAACTATGTACCTTATTTGCTCTATTCGCTTCTTTTGCTTGATCTACCTATAGATATCATAAAAAGGGGCCACGCTAAACGAATCCCCTTACTATCCAAGAGAAAGCGTAGTATTTGTTTTACTAATATCCACGGTACATGTACCGTCCGCTGCGGTTAGAACACTCGAACGACCGGAAGGCTGGATTAGAATAATACAGCTCTGCCTTTTTCATTAATCATCCTCACATGTCCCCTTCGTCTCTTAGCACAGCTATAATAAAAAGCCACAGTAGCTATTCCGCCTACTCCAACGCCGTTCGCACTCAACATAGCATTAGACAGATCCGCCGGTAGGGTATTTCCCAAGGTCGTACGACTATAGATCTTTAGCTCTCTGTTTCTTCTTATAATGGACATTTTTCCACGCTATCGGTGATGTCATGCTACAGCATTCTGATTTGAATTATGCGACCTTTCGCTGGTATCGCAGCACTCAAAACAAACTACAATAAATGGAATGTCGCCTCATTCCAAGGTGTACTGAAGTTCTATTACTAAGCGAAATTGCAAATTTTGTTAATATTGCTTCTATAGCTGTTCTAATGTCCAATTACCCACGCCATCCGCGTTTGAATATACCGTACATGTAGCAAAATCCATGTCCGTACAGCAAATGCTAAGGAAATAGATGTGTTGTGCTTTGTTGATCGTCTACGGTGAAGCCTAGTGAGTCACAATTTCCCTACAGTCCGCCTATGGAGTCTACCCGAGAACACCCGGAACACCAAGCGGTTAGGGCCACAACTCGGCACCACCTAGGCAGTCTACACCAAAATTAAGTCTACATTCTTCGAGGTTCTAGACAAAACTAGCCAAGCGCTAAGACTTGCCAAGTACTGACAGTCTCGGGATGGCATGAACTAGCGACTAAGCATAACCCCAAGGCCCTGAACCTTAATAATCAGTTCGCCCCAGGCGTTCAGCGGTTCCATGGTGAGGCATTTGGGAGGCGTGGTTGAACCATTCATTGCAAGTCGCCTCATAGGAACAGTTTGTGGTGGCGCTGTCTCGCTAATGTGAATGGCAAGTCGGCAGTTCAGAGTTTTGTTCCTGTCGCTATGAGTTCATACGGTCGTCAAGACAGAGAGTAATAAAAAAGGGTAATAGGAACAGGAAGTTACATCACACACTACACAACAAATAAAATAATATAGAATAATAATAAATAAATAAAAAATCTCCAACGCCTCTCATCCGGTCCATTCCCTGCAATAAAGGCCAGTCAAAGAAACCCATTAATCCTCCGATACCCAAAGCCCACAAATCAGATTGTCCGCAAAATCGGCAAATGCCCTTCATAGCCCCGGAGTGGCACCGGGGACGTTGCCTGTTCCATTTCCCATCCGGAAGATCGACATTCTGGAAAACCTGAAGAGGGGACCTGAGTAGTGGAGTCCGATCTGCGAATTATATCGTGCACAATTGGGTTTTTGGGAGGGTCCCTGTACATCCCTCGGTCTAGATGTCGCCCAGCATACGTAGATGTGTGCCCATTTACTCCACATTGTTCACCACTCATGCTTTGTGCTGATTTTTCCAGTGGAGGGGTTTGCTGTACTGTACCTCTTTGTCCTATTCTCCGACAAGGATTATTAAACTTTCGAGTCTCGCGTAAGAGTCGAAAAGGGTCTGGACTTGGAATGCATCGAAATACTCCCGAGTCAATGCATTCCGTTCTGTAAACTATCAAATTCCTTTTTTTTTTTCGAGGTAAATCGTGTATTCGTAGATTTTTCCTGAGATCTGATGATCATCTGTCTATTCACAAAGTCTATTTCTCTCCCCCAACGTCTATAACTCCCTGTGTAAATCCAAAGTTGGGGGGTATTTCCATAAAGTAACAGCGTAAGAAATCATAGCTCGTGACGAGACATCCTGCCCCAGTGGGAAACCAGCAATGGGGTGAAGACATGTCGATTCAACCGAACATGTTGCGTAACAATAAAATCACCAATCTCGTGTCTGTAGAAGGGCGGCATCACCAGCTAGGACGATATATAAAGAAAGTGAAAGAAAGAGTCACCTGCCAGCTAGGGCTAGATGCGACGAGTTTGAAAAAGGTACAACAAGCATAAAGAGAGAATGCATGCACGGGTCAACCGGCAACGGCATCAAAAGCAAGAAACTGAGATATTGAGAGTATCAGTCCTTTACTGGCCGAGGGTCAAAGAGAGACCAGTGTTGATAGGGCAGCCGTGGGTAGCGTGGTCATCAGTAGGCTGGAGGTAAGCCGCAGAGCAAGCGGAGTCACCAGCGGCACAGATAGCCTTGGGGCAAGAGGAAGTCTCATCAGTGGGCTGGACGGCGAAACCAAATTCGGTGAACTTGTTGCCGGATTCCATGTCGATACAAGAGAGATCCCAGAAGATGGTGTCACCGGCTTCGGTGTACTCGAACTGGAGGACGTCGTGCTGCTCAGGGTCCGCAGCCAGCTTGATGGACACACCACCGCCGTTGGGGTTGGTCTTCCATTGCTCGGAGTACTGGCCACCGTTGGCGGTGATGGTCAGCATGGGACCGACCTGGTCGGTGACAGACCAGGCGTAGATGTCCTGATTGAGGTTGTTGGTGATCTGGACGCTGCCGGAGGCTCCGTCACGGCGAACAATGCCGTTGGGGAGGGCAGAGGCAATGGTAGCGAAGAGGGCAGCGAGGCCGAGAGACTTGGTGAACATCATCTTGATAGAGAGTGAAGTCGTAGAGACTGGTATAGATATGAATGGAAGTGGAAGTCTGATCGACAGATGTAAAGAATGCAACGAGATTCAATCTCAGTTGAAGGAAGGAATATTGTAAAGAAAGTCTGTACTGCTGTACTTGAAGTGAATGTGGGTTGATCGAGAGAAAGAGACTGGAGTGAATGGGGGGGTTTATATAGATTTTAGGGTGCAGCTCGATGCCCCAAAAAAGGTACACAGCAACGTGCCAAAAGCCCCAACTCAACCATGGATCGATCCATGCCTGTGGGTCTCAGGCAAAAGGCAAAAGAACCAAAAAAGAAGAATAAAAGAAAAAGAAAGAAATAAAGAAGTGGAACCGAATCAGAGTGGAGAGAGACTCCTCTCGCCCTTGGGTTCAGACCCAGACCGGCAGTTCGAGGTTAGGAACAGTTCGACAGTAGATACTTGAATGGGCAGTATTGCATACAGCAAGACTATTATAGCGGTAGTTACGGTGTGAATTGTTATATGATAATCATACTCGTCAACTGCATATTCTACAGTCTATGAAATGAGGGCTGCATGCAGGGCATGTGATACTGTATAGTACTTCGTTGTTCATGTCCGTGGGCATACGGTGCGTGTACATAAGTAGCCACAACTATCTAACCGACGTGGCAATACCGGGAATCGCCCGAATCCACATCATGGCATCCGGTCCCATCCGCAAAGAATTCGAAGAATTTTAAAATGCTAGACGGAACAGCGAAATTCCACATGGCAACGACGCTTGCCAACATGGCTGCACAGACATTCTCTCACATTTGCCCATTCTATACTTCTTTGGTCTTCTCTGGTCCTGGCCACCACCGCAGAGTGGCTTCTAGTTCTAGGTTACATCAATTAATATAGAATCGAATGTTCTAAGAATTAGCAATTTAGCAGGTGGTTTTAATCCTTTTTTCATTGGCCGTCTATGTTAGAATAGCGAATCTCGAGGAATGAGGGAGACGATATGGCGCAGAATCAAGATGGCAAGAGAACATGAGGCAAAATAGAACCAAATGGACCAGGTCGAATGATACAATAATTCACTCTAACAAGATATACCCTGTAAATGAGAAGAACTAGAACAAGTTCCCTGCATGCGACCATTTTGATCATTACCAATCATTCTACATGCAGGCACAGGTGTGTACCTGACCTCCCCCAAGATCCCTGAACTTAACCGTACTAAGTAGGTGAACAAGGGCTCCACATCACAGAGTGGAAAAGTGAAAACCCCTCACAGATGTCAAAGACCCTGAGCCAATAACGCCTGGAGAGGGTCTCCACTGGACGCCTCCTCTGACGTTGGACCCTGGTACCTGGCGATCCAGTCGTGGATGCTGTGGCAATTATCGTGAAAAAATCATCAATTTTCTCGGCAATTCTGTTTCTCTTCTAATATCCTATTCTGGATTATACTGTGTAGGAGTACTGTGTTGTAAAAATATAAAAAATAATGCGTGCCTATAATACCTACAAACGCTCAGCCCTAAATCGGTTGAACATTAGGGCTCCGATCGCTGCGATAAAGTCGCTTTAGTTCTGGGCTACACAGACTAGACAGCTAAGTTATTGCCCACCTTAATGGGGTAGTGGGCCCGACTAGGGGAAAATAGGAAAGGGATATCCATACTGGAACTAAGTTCACCGAAGCCAATTCTTTTCCTTTGATCTTCCAGAGCATCTAGACCGCCACTGAGTACTTGGCGGTTAAAGTAGACATGTGGAACTGTCTACTGCGTCTTGGCTAATGAATATACAGGCATTCCCATGTGGACCGAGGTGACATACTGAGAAAAATACGACTTGGTATATTGAACTGTGCACATGAATTCTCCGGTGTCTCACACCGATTCTGTTTCTGCTTTTTTTTGTTCGGTTTTTTTTTTTTTGATCCTTTTGCCTTTGCATCGCCGCTCGCTCCACCCTCCATCAACTCAGCCACCAAAGTAAACGTCCCCCTCACCCTCATTTTCCTGGCCTGGACAGGTCAGACCCCTCATCTGCCCCCACCACCCCTCCAACTAACCTCCTGTCGCCATTCTTGCAGGTAAGCCTGCAGCCTAGCCGGCACCGGCCGGGCCGCCGGGAGGGTGGGCGTACCTGGCAGGGTGTGAATTGGAATAGTGTGGGCGAATCTCACCTCACCATCTCCCTCTACCAATACGGGGCCCGCATAGCAGACAAACTGGCCAAGGCACCCGAGCTCTCACCCGAATCCTCCTTCTTGCGGTGTCCAGCCAGCTCCATGTTTATCTGGCGGTGGATATGAACCAACCAGTCGACGTAGCTTTGTGCCTCATTGTTCCGGTCTTCCAGTAGGAGTCGGGCGAACTCGTACTCCGCCCCATCCATGCCTTGCCGGGCCAGTTGGATCGTCACGGATTTGGATCCGCGCACTGTCGAGAAGTATTGCAGCAGGTTGCGTACCTGGGCGTTCAGATGCGTCTCCAGCACGGGAAGGGAGGAGGTGTTGGCGCTGAGGCCTTGGAGGGAGTCGTGGCCTGGGCCGAATAGGTCTTCCAATAGATTTGGCGATACCTGTGCGTGCAGCCATAGTAGGACGGCCTGGCCGTTGTCGATTAGATAGGCGCCGCCTTCTTCGATGCGGGAGAAGCTGGCTCGTAGGGAGGGCGGGATTTGGAGTTGTCCGTGCTCGTTCGGGAATCCATCTTCTGGTTGCATGTTGTGGACTGGGATAATGCGTGGGTAGAGATACAGGGACATTTCGGTGCAGCCGAATGACCGGATCATGCGCATGTCATGCACTCGTCGATCTGAGGACTCGTTGCCGCCTGTGAGATTTAGCAGAAGTCCATATCAATCATTTTGTAAGGCAAAAGGCTTACCCTTGAATGCTCTTGACTTGACCAAGCTCAGCATGTACATTGAGAATTCCTTCAGGTTCTCAGGCAACACCAATTGTCCAGGTGGGTGGGATCCAGAGAAGATCTTGCGGTATCCGCTGAAGATATCGACTGTCTTCTCTGAGATATTGGCCCGGATATCTTTGAGGGTCTTGTCCAAAGTTTTAGATGCAGCTATCATTGCATCAGTAAACTAAATAATCAGAGTTGGTTGATGTGTAAGACTTACCCTCCTTGGCGATCACAGCAACCACAGCATCCTGATCGACAAACTTCATCGTCTCCATACCACCCTCATTAACCGCCGCTACAACGTTGATACAACGGACGCGCCGTTGGCCGTCTGCGGAAGTGTACAGCAAGGCAGCCTGGAAGTGCGCGTCCAGCTTAGGGTCAAGCTTTCCATCGTAGCTAAAGAGAACACCAATGGCCTTATCAGCATCAATGCCACCGATCTCAAGATCCGCGCCAAGTGTATGCTGAACGAAGTTCCCATGGTAAGCAGAAACTTGGAGCCCATTGGAGCATCGGACTTTCATCAAGGTCTGGTATCCAGTCTCTCGGGTGACAGCATGAGAAATTTCATTCCGCAGCTTCAGGAGATCTCGAGGAGCATGGAAGTTAGGGTAGAAGAAGGTCTCGCCTCCAGTGAGACCAGAGACATGTCCTGTAAATAATATCAGCTTCCGTCGACTATCAACAAAGATGCTCAAGTTTCCACATACCGACGGTTGCCACATCCAGATAAGTGCCACCGGGAGCTGCCATGAACAGATCAACGCCCACACCTGCTTCAGCCAGCTTGCTTGCTGTCTTCTTCCAAGCTTGATTTTCTGTGCTGAACAGCTTCCGCTCTGCCTCTGTTCCGTGGATTTTTGGATCCTCTCTCATTGACAGGGCCCCTGGACCGGTAGGCAGACTGGCCATAGCACAGACAATCTTGCCACCTGTAGCCTGTAGTGCTGAGAGTGCCGAGTTCAGTGTTGGTAGCAAAGCAGACTCGGGGTTCTTGATCTGAGAGAAAACGCTGGGTATCTTGCTGAGAAGCGAAGTGATCACGGACCTAGAGAAAATCAGTTATCTGTAGAGGCATGACCTGATGATAGCATACTTCGACTCATATGGGTCCACAAAGAGACCCTCGCTCAAAGGTACAAATGGCTCCTCCAAATCGGTCATTACCATCATGTGCGCCTGGTCCAATGTTGCCTATAGATGGGTGAGTAAATGGTGGGCGCAATGTGAAGAAGGGAGACATACGGTCAGGTTGTAGAAGTGCACTTCCCTGTCATACGTGACAATGCCGACCTTTGCCCCAGCAGGCAATTTGCGTGTCGACTCATCGCCTTCAGTCCCAGATGGTTCACTACCATCGCCGTACAGCGCGTCCTGGATACCCTGACAGACACCCTTGAGGAATCCTCGGTGAACCGACTCCCGGCTGACATCGATCAAAAAGAGTGTCTGCAAACCAACAGGTTCTTTGTTCCAGTATTCTTTGGGAACAGTGAACTCCACAGTTCCCATCATTAATTCCGGCCGCTGCATGCGATCGACACGCGCACCAGAGGGGTCCAGCGGCGCAAAGTATTCGGGAGGTGTATCGTTCGGGAATGTGCACATGTTACAAACGAACTTGCTGCCGCCAGATCGGAAGGACATGAAAGGGTTGATATAGGTTCGGCATCGTCGGCATCGCGGGGGACCAACATCCCCGAAATCCAGCACGGGGATCGGTTGTTCGCCAGGGTCCAGAGGTGCGAGTGGCTGGAGGATCATGCCCAATGGCAAGCCGGTCGAGGAGAGGAAGTCAGAGGCGGAGGGGATGTTGTTCAACGTTAAGCGGGCGTATTTCGGGGAGGAATTGCCTTGGTCCTGCGCCACGAATGGGATCGCCGCTGGCGGGGGGAGATGTTGGTCCATGGTCGGGTAGACATGGTTGAAGTAGTACTGAGCGGGCAGGTCGCGCGATCGTGGGATACTGGGGATGTGCTCGGGGTCAATTCGGCCTTGGGTAGGGACTGAGCCTGCGCCGCTCGGCATGCCAGGTTGTGATGCAGACTGCCCAGATACCAACCCCACCGCTGGGGAGACTGGCCGGTCTTGGTTCAAGCCCGTGTTCAAGCCCGTGTTCAGGAACTGCGACGGCTGTTGCTGGAGGCCTGCTTGGTCCATGCCATTGTTGAACCCTTGCGGGGGAGCCGCTGCACCACCCCCGATGTCGTGGTGGGCATGGCGGTGCTTCTTCTTGTGTGTCCTGGCCCCCGTGTCCGCTGCAATCCCCAAGCCGCCCATCTGTGAGGCCAGTCCTCCCATTCCTGGGTCTCCTGCGACACCCATTGGTGCGTGTTGCCCATTGTATGCGACATCTGATCCTGGCGTTAACCCGGGTTGTTGGGGTGAGCCGTAGGCGGGCCACTGATTCGAGGATTGAGGGGCGTAGGCAGCTCCTGGCTGCGGAGGGGCGGCCGGGGAATACGGAGCTGGGTATGCCTGAGGAGGAGCTTGTTGGGCGTACGGATTCGAGGGGTCGTCGCGAGAGCCCTGACCCATTGCGTTATACATAGAAGGGTCGGCCATGGTAGATCATGCCGGTATGAAAGGGAGACCAAAGAGCGAAAAATGAAGAAAAATTACAAGAATCGTATTATGGAGAGTAAGAAATGACCATGGAGGATCTACTCCATGTTGATATTGACCACCTAAACTCCGGATTTACGTGGCTCCGAGGCCCTTCACGTGGGCCCGTATACTTCCTCTCCGTACCGGAGATATACACCTCACGTACATTTGCAGTCTTGCTATTCTCTTCATGCTTCATTTTGTTCTAGGCGATTCCACTGCTATACGCTCGACGCTCAACGGTTGCCATGTTGCCATGTTGCCAGGTTGCAGGATGCCGGGATGCGTGCTAGAGGCTAACCATGCACAGGCTAACCATGCCACTCGGACCAACGCTATTCCCGTTCTTTGTGCACATGCTAAGCCCGGTGAATTTTCATCTATCGCTTGCAACTGTCTCTATTACGCCTTGACCGGCATTTGTCTCGAATCAAGTCATTTCCGCTTATCAAATTGCAGGCCCAATGCCGATGCTAGTCCCGTCTGAAGCTTAGGGCTTGTTTTTGCTGTTCATCCCACCGTTTTTCCCTCCCTGTTAGTCGTTCGGCACTTCTAGCCCCTTGATCACTTTTTTCGAATATAGATGTAACACAAGTAGGGTAGACACTGACACTCTGTGAGTTTTACCGATGCCATTTTCTTTTCTTTTTCGTTATCTTTTTACCTCCTTGCATATATTGCCCACCTCACCTCGCCATGGACCTAACAGTAAAGCCAGATCCGGATCGCAAAGTCAGAGAAAGGGGGGCTATACAAACCCTTCAAGCTCCAATGGCCACAATCCACGATGACGATGAGCTACTGCTGGCTCGAATTGGGTATAAACAGGTATTCACAGGGGTTGTGATCAATTGCGGGGCAACATCTGATAACGATCTGGACTAGGAATTGCGACGAGAATTCTCCAAATGGTCAACCGTCTCATATGCCATCTCAATCCTGGGCGTGCTGGGCTCCGTGCCTGCGACATTCGGTGCGCCGTTGTCGGCTGGCGGTCCCGCAACCGCCGTGTGGTGTTGGCTGATTGGCTCCGTTATGGCGATGTGCATTGGAAGCTCAGTAGCGGAGCTAGTATCAGCATATCCTACGGCGGGAGGAATGTACTTTGTCACGAAACACGTCGTACCTCCCGACCAGGTTCCGATCTTTTCGTGGATTCAGGGATGGTGTAACCTCCTCGGCCAGACTGCTGGCGTGTCGAGTGTGGCATATACTGTCAGCCAGATGTTACTGGCTTGTGTCAGTATGAACTCGGATCTTGTCGATGGCAAATATTCGTATTCACCGTGAGGTCCCAACTACTAGGTCATAAACTTGAGCTAATGTGCTTTCAGGACTGCGCTGGAAACCGTTTTGGTGTCAATCGCACTACTATGTGTACTTGGGGTTATATGTTCCCTTACAACAAAGTCTTTACATCGAATCATCTTGTGGTTTGCTCCGATCAACAGTGCGTTTTGATATATTTCATATTGATGGTCTGAAGCTAATGAAAGCATAGTCGGCGCCACAATCGCCATCTGCATTGCGTTGATAACCCTAACCCCCAACAAACAGCCAGCTTCCTGGGTCTTTGGCCACTTCACCGATGGCTCAGGGTGGGGCTCAAAAGTGTTCTCCTTTTTCTTGGGATTCCTGTCTGTGGCCTGGACAATGACAGACTACGATGGGACAACACAGTAGGTAGCTTAGACCTCACCGCACTGGCTTTTCTAATGGCTTTCGCAGTATGTCCGAAGAGACCCATGATGCAGCCGTACGAGGCCCAATTGCCATCAAAACAGCCGTTCTAGTCTCTGGAGCATTCGGATGGCTTCTAACAGTCTCAATGTGTTTCTGTCTAACAGACTTCGAAGGAATCCTAAACTCCCCCACCGGCCTTCCAGCCGCTCAAATCTTCCTCAACGCCGGTGGGAAGCGAGGTGGCACAGCAATGTGGGCATTCGCAATTCTAGTTCAATTCTTCACAGGCTGCTCAGCTATGCTGGCAGATACAAGAATGGCCTATGCTTTCGCCCGGGATGACGCTCTTCCGTTCTCAAAGTATAATTATTCCCCAGATCACAAGCTAGTTCAAGCTGATATCATGTAGATTCCTATCAAAAGTCAATCCCCACACCCACACGCCCGTCAACGCCGTGTGGTTCGTGGTTATATTCAGCATTAGCTTGAACTGCATCGCCATCGGTTCTACGCAAACGGCTACTGCTATCTTCAACATTACTGCTCCGGCACTGGACCTGTCCTATGTTTCTGTTATCCTTGCTCACCAACTGTACAAGTCCAAGGTCAAGTTCATTGAGGGTCCCTTCACGCTTGGGAGATGGGGTACCCCTATCAACTACGTTGCTGTTATATGGGTCTTGTTCATCAGTACTATACTCTTATTCCCTCCACAGTTACCTGTGACACCTGCAAACATGTAAGTCGCCTTGAACTGGGACTGGCGGTTTTAGGGTGTGAGTTTTACTAATATCTCCCGCGCAGGAATTATGCTATCTGTGTTGGTGGTTTCATTGCCGCTTTTGCAATGGTTTGGTGGTGGGTTGCGGCTCGGGGGTAAGATATATTGGAAGAGTCGTATCATTCTGCTCGTCGTCTGACGTACTAACGTGTCTTGATATTGCAGGAAATATACCGGCCCTCGGACCAATGATATCATTCAAGAGATTCCTACCGAGGATAATGATGATGATGACGGTGAAGGATCTGATGATATCTCCGTTTAGAGGTGACACTGGCTCTTCACAACATCGTGTTGTTCTATTTCAGAAAAATTAGATAGAGAGATTAGTTTCCCATAGCTGGAGTTCGGGTATTTGATAGGTTATAATGCGCTTGGGTCAACACATGTTATTAGGAATACCATGTTTGTCAATCTTGTTCTTTTCTCCCAATTCTGATTGATCTATATTCTCCGGGCTAGCATCCTTATCGCCTTAATTCGATACAAGAAAAGAATGGGACAGGTCGGGATTGAACTAGCGAACTTATGAGCTTCAGTCGCCCGCTCTCCTAAACAAAAATAAATCAAATTACATCGATAGTGGTAAATTTTTTAGAAAATAATTGATATATAAGGGATGCAAAAAAAAGTATGTGACGAGCCTGGATCGAACCAGCGACCTTGCGAAGTCAAGACTGAAGTGGAAACTTCCAACTCGTCCCAAGTGGTGATGGAAGGTATATAACTGGAACCAATAAAAACACTGGTATCGACCCAGATAGCTTGCCAGTCATCTGACCTATCATCGCGTCAGGCTCTTTGTCTCAACTCACGCAAATCAGACCCGTTTGACACCCTCTGACAATGGATTGATCCTTTTACCAAATGAAATCGACTGAATGAAATTCCAACATACATCTGCGTAACAATCGCCCGAACTGTTACCATATATTTGGACCGAGCCAATTGCGACTAGGCTCGCTGCAAGCGACGGCAGATTCCCACGATGTTTACTTTCACCCCTCTCCTAGGCGCGCAATCGTCATCGTCACGGGCCTCACAGTCTATCTTGGAGCTTGATGGGGGTATCAAGATCCTTGTAGATGTTGGTTGGGATGATAGCTTTGATACCCTTGATTTAGCGAAACTTGAGAAGTGCGAATGCGGCCAAGCTGTTTCTGCAGGATAAACTAACACGATGAACAGACATATCCCAACCCTCTCTCTCATTCTCCTGACACACGCTACACCGGCGCACATCGGCGCCTTGGTTCACTGCTGCAGAACCTTCCCCCTCTTCACGCAAATTCCAATCTACGCAACAAGTCCCGTCATCGCCTTCGGCCGTACCCTCTTACAAGACCTCTATGCCTCAGCACCGCTTGCTGCCACCTTCCTACCGAAGACCTCTGTCTCAGAGTCTGGCGCAGCTTCAGCATTGGCGGGTGTGCCGGGTGATCGAGACACCGAAGCTTCTGGCAGCACAAGCCGAATACTCCTTCAATCGCCGGCTGCGGAGGAGATCTCTCGATATTTCTCTCTCATTCAACCGCTCAAATACTCTCAACCTCACCAGCCGCTCCCTTCGCCGTTCTCGCCGCCGTTAAACGGGCTCACCCTCACGGCTTACAATGCCGGTCACACCGTCGGTGGAACAATTTGGCACATCCAGCATGGGCTGGAGTCTATTGTATATGCAATGGACTGGAATCAGGCCCGCGAGAGCGTGGTTGCAGGCGCTGCTTGGTTTGGCGGCTCAGGTGCCAGCGGAGCAGAGGTTATTGAGCAGTTACGAAAACCTACGGCTTTGATCTGCAGTACCAAGGGAGGAGATAAGCTGGCACTCTCCGGAGGGCGTAAAAAGCGGGACGATCTTCTTCTCGATATGATCCGCAGTAGTCTTGCGAAGGGCGGCACTGTTCTCATTCCGACTGACACAAGTGCGCGAGTTTTAGAGCTGGCCTATTCTTTGGAGCATTCCTGGCGCGATGCGTCAGCTGGCAATAAAGATGATGTTCTCCAAGGGGCAGGATTATATTTGGCCGGTAAGAAGGTTACCACCACAATGCGACTTGCCCGAAGCATGCTCGAGTGGATGGACGAGAATATTGTACGCGAGTTCGAAGCTGCGGAAAGCACAGATGCCACGAATGGGCAAAGGACAGGTGGACAAGATAAGGGCTCTAGCAAGGGCGCAGGACCGTTCCATTTCAAGCACCTGAAGATCATTGAGCGCAAGAAGCGACTCGAAAAGCTTCTGGCAGACGAAGGCCCTAAGGTCATTCTTGCATCTGATACATCTCTTGACTGGGGCTTCTCAAAGGAGTCTCTTCGACAATTGGCCGAAGGGCCCAATAATTTGTTGTTATTGACCGAGTCCTTCCGCAGGGAAGAGACGACTGAAGCAACAGAGGATTCTCAGAGTTCGATGAGCCTCGGAAAAATGATCTGGGAGTGGTATCAAGAACGAAGAGATGGTGTGGCCATGGAAAAGGGATCGGATGGTGAATTGCTCGAACAAGTCCACAGCGGCGGACGAGAACTGTCTTGGACAGATGTGCAGCGGGCACCTCTCGATCCCGGAGAGCAGTTACTATACCAGCAGTATCTTGCTACTAAACGCCAGCTGCAAGACACATCACAAACCCGGGGCCAAGAGCCTATTGAAAACGTTGCAGACGCTCTTGATGACGGATCGAGCTCAACATCTTCCGAAGACTCGGATCCTGAACAGCAGGGCCGAGCATTGAACTTTTCAGCATCACTTGCCCATGCCAGTCGCAGCAAGCTTGCCGTCAGTGATGAGGATCTTGGTGTCAATATTCTGCTTCGCCGAAAGAACGTCTACGATTATGATGTGCGTGGTAAAAAGGGTCGCGAGCGCATGTTCCCTTTCGTGGCACCAAGAAAGAAGGGTGACGAATACGGAGAATTCATTCGCCCGGAGGAATACCTACGAGCCGAGGAACGTGAAGAGATTGATATGCAACAACGGCGGTCCGATGCGGAAACTAAGCTTGGCCAAAAGCGACGATGGGATGATACCGTTGGGCCTAATGGGCGAAAGTTGTCCGGCAGCGCAACAGGGCGAAAGCGTCTACACATGGATGGCCGGAAGGTCGACGATGATGATCTCAGCCTTGCCACCGATGGCGAAGATGCCGATGAGGCCGTAGAGTCTGAAGACGAAGCAGATGGTCAGACATTCGAAGGACCTGCCAAGGCCGTGTTCCATCCGCAGAGCGTCACACTCCACGCTAGGATTGCTTTCGTTGATTTCATGGGTTTGCACGACAAGCGTAGCTTGGAAATGTTGATCCCGCTCATCCAACCTCAGAAGTTGATCTTGGTCGGTGGAATGAAGGAAGAAACCGATGCCCTGGCTTCTGAATGCAAGAAGCTACTGGCTGCCAAACCTGGTGCTATTGTCGCCGATCCCCACTTTGACTCGGCTTCTATCATTTTCACGCCCGTCAATGGCGAGGTCATCGATGCCAGTGTCGATACGAATGCTTGGATGGTCAAACTGAGCAACACCCTCGTCCGACGACTCAACTGGCAGCACGTCCGCAGTCTGGGTGTGGTTGCTCTCACAGCCCAACTGCGAGGTCCAGAACCCATCGTCGACGATAGCGACACCGAAACAGTAGGCAAGAAGATGAAGCAGCTGAAAGATGAAGCAGCTTCATCTGCCGTTGCCCCGGCCTTAGAACAAGACAACAAATCAACCGAAAGGCCAGATGTCTATCCCCTTCTCGATATCCTCCCTGCCAATATGGCCGCGGGAACCAGATCCGTGACACGCCCTCTACATGTCGGCGATTTGCGCTTGGCTGATCTTCGTAGGCTGATGCAAGCAGCTGGCCACACTGCCGAGTTCCGTGGTGAAGGAACGCTGTTGATTGACAAGTGCGTCGCTGTCCGCAAATCGGGCACTGGCAAGATTGAGATCGAAGCGACGGCGCAGTCTTCAATTGGCCAGTCTTCTTTGGGTCGTGGAGCGGGCAGCTTCCTTGCCGTCAAGAAGAAGATCTATGAGGGCCTGGCTGTTGTTGCGGGCAACTAAGGCTACAAGGCATGACATGTATTTCTATCTTTTCCTAGTGTACAACTTCATGACAATGCATTTGCAGCCTTTTTCTTTCACTTCTTTAATTTATTTCCTTTAAATCTCCACTTTGTTGGCAGTATTGGTGAATAAATCATCGCAACCTGCTGGCTCGCTTCAGCATCAAAAACACCGAGTTCCAGCGGGCATTTATATCGTCTAACGGCAAGAGTCGAATCCCGGGGGGCTGGAGACACAAAAACCTATCGCGCTTCCGAGGGGTCTCGTTGACAAATTTTTGCAAATAACCGAATCTGCAACATGTATGGGTCAGAACTTTTTCCGTCGAAAGGACGGAGGGCATTCACCTTTTCCAAAACAGGCGTTATTTCGGCATTTGGAGGTTCAGCCCAGCCATTTGCGCAGGACCGACGGACTCCGCTCCCTAGTGCCCGAGATCTGCAACCCACAGACACGATTAGGGTGTGCGGATTGCTCTCCATTGCCGCTATGGACGATCTTGAGTGCTTGGAAAGACGAGCCAAGTCGAGGCTCCCAATATATGACAACCAAACACGGGACGGGCCGATGAGACGATCACCCGGGAGCCGATCACTTCCCGAGGCGGCAGTTTTACCGTCACCATTATTACTCAGAAGATCTTTCCTATCCTTTCAACAACACGCTATCGCAGGTGGGAAGGTGTATCCACTACCTCTTAAATTGGTTCATATGGCATTTCAGTATCAGCACTTTTTTTTTCTACACGCTACATCCTGCCTGGAAATTAAAGATAAAAGCTAGCCCCGTGGGTGGATCGCTGGCCTCGTGGACTCTTTTCATTCAATATCAACCGTCATCTTCTTCCAATTATAGCTCCCAACCACGAGTGACAACCATCTTAAGTACTTTTCCCAGCCCCTATTTTCTGGCTTGCAACGCAATCCCTATAAAAATTCTACCTACTAGATTGGTCGTATCACTCTTCTTCGCTCTCGCTCTCAGAAAAGAGACAGTCTGGCGATTCCTCGCGAGACGGATTAACTTTCATCGAGGCCGCATCTAGAGTCAATATGTCAGCATAAGCACTCGACTAACAACGTGTAAGCATCAAAAAATTGCCCAAGTAGGCACACCAAAGGATGTGACATGCAAGGGATAATGAAGAATGCAGGAGAAAACAAAGCCCTCTGCCCCAGAGCCTTGACAGCCAATTATAGTGCCTGATGAAGCCCTGAGTGATATACAACTCTTGGGATTGTCTCACAATGCGGTCAAAAGACACCTCACACACCCCTCAACAGTTCATTAGGGACAGTCATAGTATACATCATGGTTTGAATACCTTGAAGACATACAAGAAGAGGCAAAGAAACATGGAAAGAACGAGGAGAACAACACCAAACCAAATCCATCTGTACTCACCGAGTCGTGCAATTTTACCCTCATCGTTTCGCTCCAGATCGCGATCCTTGCCTGGATCCGTCTTCTCAGGATCTTCCAACGCCTGACTTCCCCGGATGCCAGACCCTGCATGGCTGGTCGGGGAAACCGACTGCTCCCGCGAAACTGCAGGTTTCCTCGACAAGGACTTGTGCATGAGATTGAACATCGTCCGAGGAATAACATGCGTATTCGCAGTATTATGACCGGTAGGATCTGGCCTGACAGCCAAGGTCGGACGTTTATAGTCGGGGAAGTAATAAAATGAATCACGCAAACCTGGAGGCTTCTCCAAGATGCTAGTCCACTTCTGGTCCAAGACAAAGTAACCAGTGAGCGGTCTCCCAGGTAGACTAGGCAGTAATTGATGCGGTGGCTGCATTGGCCCATTGAATGGCCCGTGAACGGCATGTCGGATGCGTTCCTGCTGGGACGGGTCTTGCAACGCCTGGTATAGACACAGATACGCGTACTCGTAGAGCTGATCATATTCCAGCCTCTTCCAGGACCCGAATTCGCCCGCCTCGAAGACCCAAATCCAGCTCTGGATTTTAGGTGTTGAAGTGGAACTGGAACTGGACGTGCTAGCAACACTGCTGCGCTTGGAATTGCCGTTCGAAGAAGGTTGAGACGGCCGAGGTGGACCGCGCTCTGGCATGACATACCAACGTGGCGTCGGTGCCATGTTCCCGAAATAGATGTCGGGTACGACGATATCTCCAAGCTTGCCTTCAAGATGCCTGGGCGCAGACAGGGGCACATGATCATTCCATATCTCCTCGGACTTGAGAACCGGAGGCTCAGTTTGCGGAATTATAAATGCCGGACGGTCTGGACGCCGATTATACCTGTAGAAAGCAGGATCCGCTCTTGGTCCGGTCCGGTACTCTTTGATGGAAAGTCTTCTGGGCTGCTCGGAAGATGGCACCTTTCGAGTATCGTTCCCTGTTGTCTTGGGGGCTACAGCCTTTGTGGCTTCGGCTTTCTTGGCATTCGGAGCTGTCCTCGCTTTCTTCGCCGGGCGTTTTGAGTCGGAATCCCACTCGTCCCCCGAACTTTCAGGGGGAGATTCCGACCGCTTCTTCTTCTGAGCACGTACACGCTTGGACGGCATCTTTATTGGCTGATTTGTGCTTCTAAAATTGATCTGTTAGTTATGAGACATGCCGTGAGATATTGAATGAGCCATACCGAGTGTGATGCTAAGATAAACCCTGAGGATGATGAGGAGTTTGATCAGGGGACGGAGGATGACATTGGAAGTGTCACTCTATATTAATAAATGGGCATTCCTCTATTCATGTTAACAAAGCGAAGAGGTCAGAAAATATAGCGTTCAATGGCCTACCGGATCAAAGAGAGTTATAAATGGAGTCTCCGAACTTCTTTGTATACCCACCCAGCCTGTCACAGGCCCACCCAAAATAACTCAACGTACTGACAAGAGACGTTTTAGTTTGACCTTGAGAGTAAGACTTTAACTTCGTCCTTTCATAAACCAAAATGAATTGGTATAAATGTAACGCGATAGCTGCACCAAGAGGTCGCTCCGGTCATTTACCTGAAGCCTGATAAACGTAAGTCTCTATCCCCAAAACAGAGAGCCGAAACTTCGGACCCACAAAATACAGGTAATCAGAAAGCGAGACAAGATGTAGCAGATTGCAAGGTGTACACGAAACAATGAAGGGACCAACCACGGAATATGAACAAGTGAGAGAAGCCAAAACTTGAATAGAAATTAATAAGACAAAGAACAGTAAGCTGTAGAATATCGAAGAGGACAAGGACAAGTGCCTCACAATGAGCCTAAAGAGACTAATCCTGCCCTCGAGCCTCAGATGATGTTTACCTAGACTAAGACTCAAAATTCCAATAACAAATGAGGCCAGAAGCACAAGCACTTACGAATAATAGCGATGATCTAACAGCACTCCAGGATCGACACGTTTCCCTGGACCCTGTGAACCGGTATATTGTCAAAGGGGGTTGCGGGTTAGGGCTAGCTCGGAAGTGGAGGTGGCGATCAACAGTTTTAGTCTGGGAAAATCAAGCTGAAATTAGATTTGATTGACAAGTCTAGAACAAAAATAGCCTGATAAAAGTAAGTTCACCAAAAGACCGTATCCTCGGGTTAGTCTTGTTTCGACACCAGAAATCCAGTCAAAAAGTAAGACAAAGAGAGCGGAACATCGAGAGTGATAAGTCTGTGCGGTGATGTCTAGTACCGAGATCTAACAATCCCCAGCTCTAATCAGGATATGAGCTCTTCCCCTGGAATGTGAGCATACGACTCTGGTGTCATTGCCCTGTGCTTGAATGCTCTATGGCCTCATATCGAATGCGCGCAAGCAAGACAGGATCTGGGTCAGAAATAATAGCATATAAATTGGATGCCTTATAAATTTGATATGATCAATAAAATCATCCTAGGTTTAATGGTTTTAGTATAGTCTCGTTACTATACTTAAGTATAGAGTGCCTCTTGGCGTATAATAAAGAACTGTGTGCACAAAGAACATGTCAAGACACATGACTGCACAGAAAAAAAATTGCCTCTGGTTGGAGAAATTGCCGAGAATTTACTGGATTTGGCACCTGGGAACAAAGAGCGCAAGATTAACGCTGAGTGCGATGTGCATAGACCGAGAGTTGTAGATCTGGTCAACTGCCCTACTCTCACATTCCTCACTTGATATTACGACGTTCCTCCACAAACCATGTAGAGCTTGACATAAATTGTTAACTTCGGCTGTTCGGCCACGCAGGACGAAGTGGAGCGCAAGCCATTCGGAATTCAAATAGAACAGCCAGATCAAGGGAAAAAAGAATATATCGTCATTTAAGTAGGAGTACCATTGCGGGCCCAAATATTGGAATGCCAGCGCTGTTCCCTAAATTATGTCACACAGCAGAAAATCATAGCGACCACCTATTTCTAAACCATTTTTTTTTGCAGATGTACCTTCATCTTTGTCCAGATACACGGCCGCTTACTGCCAGTATCTGGGCTCGTCGAAGACGTGGTAGCGGTGGCCACGCACTCCCTCACCACGGAATAGGGCAGGGAACCGGCGGCCGACGGGGACCATCTCTTCGGGAATGCGCATCTCGGTTTCGGGCTCGGGCTCGCCGATGACGAACTTGCCAACCTGTGACATGGAATGGTTAGAGTTGAAGACCGCATTGGGAGATTTGTGAAACTTACCTGAATCTCGGTGTCCGTGATGGTGTCACGACTGATACGGGCGTAGCCGGTACGGTGCAACTTCTTGAAGAGGAGGTACTCGCACCATCTATCCCAGTCGGTGGGATCGATATCCTTCATCTGGCTACGCTCGCTCACGTAGGTGTTGTAGTTACCCTCGAGCGGCTTGGTGACGAGGTAACTTAACAGGATCAGAGGACGGGGGGAGTCGCCCATCAGTTTGGACAGATACTCGCTCTGCAAACGGCGGTCCTCAGGATCCTCTTCCTGACCAGAATGGAAGACAACAACATCAACCATCTCGCCGTACATGTCGAGGGTAGCGTGGATGGCGGGTGCGAGCTCACCCACGGGAGAGGGCAGGAGGTGGTGGGTGGAGTTGACGATGGGGAACTTGGAAAGCAAGGCAGAGCCCCAGGTGTGCTTGTTAGGGCCGGGGCCAAAGTCGGAGTAGTAGCCAAGGTCCTCAGCAATGAACTGGGTGACGTCCTTGTTACCCATGATGATTCGCTGGTTGTCCGACTCGAGGAAACCAATGACGTCCAGCTCGAGCTCACCGATGACATCGCGCATGCGGCGCTCAGAGGACCACATGTTGTTGTCGAGACCAAAGTGGACGGTCCAGATACCAGCGGTTACAACTTTGTCCTCCTTGTGGTGGGGGGTGTAGTCGTTGGTTGGGAAGCGCAGGTAGGCCACAGAGACGGAAAGCAGTTGCAATGCAGCCAGGACGTAGATGTAATACGAACGCTGTCTCTTGCTGTTGGGGCTGACGGGCTTGTTACGGGAGCGAGTGGAGTTCGAGGTGGCGGCAGAGAAGACACCGGCTCCAATGGACAGCATGGTGGTAATCATGAGCCAGTCAGTGTGCTCACGAACGAGAGGACCACCTGGGACGAAGGCATAGGCAACCACCCAAACGTGGAAGAGCAGGAGGAATACATAGACGACGAAGCCAATGCCGAAAGTGCTCGCAGGAGAGTGACGGACACTGGACACAATCAAGACGGGAGCAACAGCCATGATGTAGAACGCCAGAGCGAGCGCGCCATAGTATCCGGTCCAGTGGTGGTAGCAAGTGAGGAGAGCAGCACCAAGAGAACCGAGACCAAAGGCAGTCCAGCTACCAGCGACAGCAGGGTGGAAGATACCATACACAAGACCGGCACCCATGGCGAAGATGGTCAGAGCACCGTGGGGAGCGGCAAGCGGTCCACGCACTGGGTATCCATCCCACACCCACGAGATCATGGTGCTCGAGTCGGTCAGGAGAGAGACAATGGCGAACATCAGACCACCAAATCCAATACCAGCCAGGAGGGACGAGCCCTTCTTGCCACTCGCGGGCAAGTAATCACCACCGCTGGTGTTTGAGCCTCTCTGGGATCTTAAGACAGCGAACAGAGCGATGAAGATACCAATCTTGTTCCAGCCACCGTTCTCGGCGTGAACAATAGGCCAAAGGGGATTGTTGGTCTTGCATGCGAACTTGGCAACGACAGACATGATCAGTCCAACGCCCCAGGCCATGATGCGGGCCTCAAGACGAGGGCTGTTGGCTCTTTCGGCGAAGAAGCCGGTGGTCCATGCTGCACATGTGGTAGCAAGAGCGAAACCAGTCACAAAGAGACGGTTGGCAGGGTCCTGGAACCTGTATGCCAAAAGGCCAACGAGTGAGGCCAGGTGAAGCAGGCGGAGGTTCTTGGTCGCCGCGTATCTCAAAGATGGAATAACTAAGAGCAATGGGGAAGTGCAGCAAACAATGGCGACCTCATAGCCAGAGATACCCATGTGCCACAGAGGGAAGTCTACTAAGATTAGACAAGTTCAACCCAGGAGAGATTTGTCACTTACACCAGACAAGCACGGGGAGAGCTGTCACAATGGTCCAGAAAACGAACTACAGCCCAGTCAGTAATGCGTAATATCGATAGGTGGCGAGCGGATCTTACCCCGTTGTAGACATCAGAGGCAGCGTCAATGATCTCGGTCCAGAAGAAGCCCTCGCCGAATGTGTTGCCCACCGACTTGCCCTTCCTATCTACTGGTTAACTTCCGGGGTTGTGGTTGTGGTTATGGGATTGTACACACTCTTTTTCCAAGACAGAGTCCGCAGTCGTCTTCAACTGCCTAATGAATGCAAATTCAGAACTTGTTTTCTTTCATAACCAATGTAGCCTTCGGCACTATACATTTGATGTGGATGGTGTCATTTTGGAAGCCACGGTACATACCCTCTGCTAACGCCCTTTACATCTCTCACCACAAGTTCAAAGCTCTCAAAGTCCAATGCGGTGATCGCATCGAAACCGACATCGAACAGAATCAGGGACCACTCGAAGAAGGCGTACTTGGTGTAGGCTAGAATATACTGATCAGCAAACGGTGTCACCAAATTCAATGACCATATGATAAAAACTCACCACCAGGAATCTTGTGGACCTTGTGTTGAATGAAATAGTAAATCAAAGGAACCAATGTTCCAAAGAACAAGCTCGCCATAATCTTGCGGTACTTGACAGCACGGCGGTTGTTGGGGCTGAGCGCAAGGCAGCCAAGAGTCCATGGCAAAGTAGCAACCAGATACGAGATCATGAAGATATCGTGCCAGTCATGGTCGTCGGTAGACGTAACGTAGGTCCAACCTCCACAAGTCAAAGTACGGAAGATACCCACGCCGGCAACGAGCTTGGGCAAAGTCGAATTGGGACGCGACGTGAGGATGTACCACAGGAAGACAAGGGCGAAACGAGGTCCGGAGGTAATGGCGATGAAGACCTGGAAGAAAGACCGTTCGGGATAGCGATCACCAATGGTCGCGGACACGGAGGGGAACCATTCGTCGGGGTAGCCGTAGTGTTCGTTTTGGACGATTTTGTGGTAGTGCAAAGCAACGCCGACAATCAACGCGCTGATGAATGCTGCGTAGGCGAAGAGGGTGTGAGACCAAGCAACCCATTTGCCATTGATCTAGATCCTGTCAGTGGCGCCTCAGACCATCGCGCATCAACACTTACGGCGACCACGGCATCTCCGTCCTTGTATCGGGGAGCCATGGCGAGGGAAATGCAATCCCGTATATAGAACAAAGAGGCAAAAAAGAGTGGCGAGAAGAAAAGACAAGAGAACGACTCAGATTAGCTGTCACGAGCAAACGGCCCCTGAAGGAAGGGAAAACAACCTTCGGATCCCTCGGTGGTTCTAACTGTCCTCTACGCTAAGCCAAAAGCGGTTAAGCGCACTCTGGGGCTGATCGGTGTTTTTTCAATGCGGGATGCCGACTTTTTTTTTCCCAACAGCAACCATGTCCGCCGCAACAGACAAAGCTCGGTTCTTCCTCGAGAAGTCGGTACCAGAGCTCAAAGAATATGAAAGCAAGGGGATTTTCACCAAGGCAAGCCGAGAGTGCGCTGGCACGCAGAACAACAGCTAATTCGCATGTCTAGGATGAAATTTCCTCAATCGTGAAGAAACGGTCAGACTTCGAGCACAAGATCAATGCTCGTGGTGCGCAACCCGCGGACTTTGTGCGCTATGCTGAATATGAAATGAACCTCGATGTTCTGCGAAAGAAGCGAGTGAAGCGACTTGGAATTCGGTCGGCGGGATTCAATGGCCAGCGACGCATCTTCTTCGTTCTCGACCGGGCTACTCGCAAGTTCCAGGGTGATCTAAACCTTTGGGTCCAATATATCGATTACGCACGGAAGCAGAAGGCCCACAAGAAGTTGTCTCTGATATTCACCGACGCTCTGCGCCTACACCCAACCAGCGCCGAATTATGGGTCTACGCTGCGAAAAATGTTCTCGATGACCACGCCGATATGACACAGGCTCGGAGTTACATGCAACGCGGTCTTCGCTTCTGCAAGAGTTCAAGGACAATTTGGACGCAATATGCCAAGCTGGAATTGATCTATATTGCCAAGCTGGTTGCTCGCCAACGCATCTTGGGTTTGGATGAGAACCAAAAGCCCCAGCCAGTCGAAGAGGCAGGGATTGACGACCCGGACGCCGATATGATTGCCATGCCAAAGATCACAGCTGAAGATATCGACCCGAGCACGGAAGAGGATGGAGAAGTCGATCAGGTTGCGCTGCAAAACCTCAACGCTACACCTGCCCTGAGCGGTGCTATTCCAATCACCATTTTCGATACCGCCTCGAAGCACTTCAACCATGATGATCGGTTCGGGCAGGAGTTCTACAATATGGTGTGGGAGTTCCAGGATGTGCCTTGTCTTGAGAAGATCCTGGGCCATGTGGTCGAGACTATGCGCGAGAACAAGCCTTCCAGCCCCCGGACACAGATCTGCTATATCAAGTTCCCCACGGCTGGAGTTCCCGTCACATCCCCCGGTTTCCCGCGGGCTCTTGGTAGCTCGCTTGCGCGTCTAAGAGAGTACCCCCTGGGTAAGGAACTTGCCCGCCAGGTAGTCAACTGGCTGCAGCCCATCGCAGCAACCGAAGGCTTGGATCCTTCGTTGCAGAAGGCCATTGCAGCCACCATCCGCAGTGCGGAGCGTGCGTCGGAGTAAAATAGCATACCCAGGTATTTGCACTTAGCATTTAGGCGTTGATCGGATTGAATCAAAATTCAGGATGGCGGATTAATCCTATGTTATAAACCCGTTGCATCAATCATCGTACTTGCTTCCCCGCCGACTGCTTTTCTTATTGCTGTGCAGTTTCTTAGATTTGATGCGACCCTCATTCTGAGCGCGTTGTCTGTAATCTCTGTTAGACTCGGACATACCGAACAGTAGGATAGCATACAATTTCTGCACATGATCTCTTTGCGCTTGCGTGGTCTCACCTGGGACCACCTCCTTGGCAGTGTTCTTTAACAGCTGGTAGAGCTTGTCAAAGCAAGCCTCCACATTATTAGCTTGTTTGCGCTCCTCGTCGGATTGGATGACCAGACATTGGGTCCTCTCGGCGGCATATCGGGAGGTCCGTAGCGGTTGGTACATCAACGGGGGTACCAATGGCAACAACGAGTCGAAGGGGACCTTCAATGTCGCCTTTGAATTCACCCTGTTTCATAACAAGATCAGGATCAGCACCGAGTCTGCGACAGGGATCCTCCAAGTGGAGTCACTGACTTGTTCACATTCTGCCCGCCCGGGCCGCTGGACCGGCTGAAAGAAACCTCACAGATGTGGCGGGGTATGGTCTGGCGATTGAGGCCTGTTAGCCAGTCTCTGGCAATCTGGACATCAGAGCGAGTCGTGAAGTACCGCAATTGAGGTAGCACCCGGAGGTGCCATGATCGGCTATACATCGCAGTAACCCCGAGTGATGAAGAAGAGAGAAGTGGAGAGTGACTAATTGAAAACGGCAATTATAGGAAGTTGTCCGATCCCCGCTAGTGTATGGGCCTTGGAAGCCGTAGAAGCCTTCTATTTTAGCACATGGGGGATCAAGCACTGTTAGGGTCATCTGACTACGTAACTCCCGGAAAGTGACCCTTAAGTGACGAAAAGTTTACCTGGCCAGGTCCTCCCCCTAGTTATGATGTGACTTCCATGTACTCCGTGCACCTCCTGCATGTCCTAAGAGTTTGCTGGTAAACGCCTCAAGCTGCCCACCTGATCCTTTCATGTTTGCTCGCTTCCTTTTCCCTCCTTTTTACTCTTTTACCTTCCCCTCTAGGGTTACCAAGCCCGACCGACCCAATCTTTTCCCATCGCCCCACCTTAGCTTGCGCGAAAATTCCCATCTGGCCAATTTTCCTCTTCACATCCTTCTTCCGTAGATGAAACGACCTCCTGTCCTACATGACGCCTGCCGATGAAGCGCTTCACTTTCGTGGAAAGACTTTGACTCCGGAAAGCCCTCGACCGCTGCATATCCCGGAGCCAGCCAACATTCCCGTACTGGAGAATCAAATGGACCCCGTCTTCAACGATACTTCAACCTACGAACGTTCGGTGTATAACCAGGGACAGATACATGATGGGTGGCACGAGAATCTAAATGGAGGAGGACCGCGTCAGAACCAGGACGCAGGTAGTTATCATGGGCAAGATCGTGCGACGCAGAATGATATGACTATTGCTGCGACATACTACCCTCCTACTTCTGGAACCGAGGGCTCTGGCAATGCAGGATACTCTCTCTCTGATCCTTCTTACGCCCATGTGGTGCCGGTTGCTCCGGTATCCCAAGGCTTCGCCACCGGCGAAGTAGACAGTACCACCCAGCTGCCGAATCGCCTAGATGCCGAGAAGGAAGACGAAGGCCCTAATACGGGAGTCAATTTCCAGAATCTCCTCGACAATCTCTCCAAGCCCAACTCCGGTGCAGCCGCCCCCAGCACCGGGGCCCTGCCTCTAGCTGAAAACTCGTCTTTCCATCAAGCACCCACGGACGAACCCCTCCTAACCCAGGGCATCCCTGCCCAAACTACCCATTACCCTGTCCCAAATCCTCAGTTTGCCCCCAATGGTGAGGTGAACCCCGACCCGCCTGCCCATGAGGCCAATGCAGCGCCCGCCTATCCAGCCCAACCCAGTAACCCTCCCCAGAACCAGTCCCAGCCCTACTCTATTGCCCCTGGCACGGCCTCGTCCGTCAAAAATTTGCCTCCACCCCCTATTGCCAGCTTCCAGACTCCCTCTACCGTGCCAGAGTCGCAGGGATCCTCGCAAGACCCTGCGCTGGCCCCGAAGAAAGGCCGCGTTGATAAGCAGGGTCGGCCAATCAAAGGCATCGATGATGATGCCCCTTGGGGCCCCGAGGTCCAAAAGAAATACGACGAGTTCCTACACGATGAGCGTATTTACGTGACGGAAGGTCTCTGGGACCGGTTTCCCATGGGATCGAGGTTGTTTGTTGGTTCGTGGTATCCCTACTTATATCTATACCAGTTATCTCTGACCACGGTTGTTATGTACAGGCAACCTTCCTACCGAGCGAGTCACCAAGCGGGATATGTTCCATATCTTCCATAAATACGGCAAACTGGCACAGATATCGATCAAACAGGCTTATGGATTTATACAATTTTTGGAGGCTCCCTCTTGCCATGCGGCGCTTGAAGTCGAGCAAGGGGCGATCGTGCGGGGCCGAAAGATACGTGAGTGCCCCAATCGCTCTCATCCAATCATTCAATGCGCCTACTGACTCCTTTCCAGATCTCGAAATCTCCAAGCCTCAAAGATCTACTCGTCCTGCTCCAGTGCCAGAGTCTTCCCGAGCACCGCCGGCGCGTCGCTCGCGGTCACCGGAGTTCAGCCGTGCTCCCGCACGACCTACCAATCGGGTCCCTGGCGATCGATACGACCGGCCCTATGAGCCAAGTCGATTGCCTTTCAGCGATTTCCGGGATGAGCCCTCTCACCGCCGGCGCGATGATCGTCGTCCGCCGCGATCACCCTCCCCTAGGCCTTTCCGGACTAGAGATGGATATCGGTCGCGAGATAGAACCCCAGAAAGGTTTGAGCGACGAAGACGTTCTCGATCTCCACGTTCCCCTCGGTCTCCCTATTCCAGAGATCGGCGCTATCGCAGTCTGAGCCCTAGGGCGCGTGGTATCTATGAAGGCGAAGCAGATTTGCCTGTGCCTCGACGAGTTCCTCGTGATGTACCAGAAGTGCAGATCCTCGTGCTTGAAGAACTCGACAGGTTAGTTACATGCTCGTGGTGCCGATTTGCTTGAAAAGAATACTAACATGACCCAGAAACTTTGTTCTTCATGTCGAAAATGCCTTCCGCAATCGTGGGTTACGAGTAGACGTACTGGTTCTCGGTCCTCGGATTCCCCTTGGCGCAGCAGTTCATCGCCAGTTCATCGAAGGTGTTCTTGCAGTTGTTCGCCTTTCGCGTCCCAATCAAATCTCCAGGAAGATTCCTCTGCAGTTGTTTGATCGGACCGCCGGGTTGGACAACGTTCGATTCCTCGGTAAGCACATTCTATCAGCCAATTGCCCATTGACACTTCTAACGAAGAATTGCAGATTATCCCGAGCTGGAACCTAATTTGTCCGCTGAACTTCTGAGCCATCAGGCTCAAGCCATGCAACGAGGAGCTGCACCGGCCGCATTTGCACCAAATCCCGCCTTTGGTATCCCCGCAGTGCCGCCCATGGCAATTCCTCAGCCAGGTCTACCTGCGCTCTCTAACCCTCCCAACATTGCAAACCTCATTGGCTCTCTGGATGGCCCTAGCCTTTCGTCTCTCTTGTCGGCACTCCAGCGACCTTCACCTTCGCAGCCTGTGTCTGCTACTCAGTCACCATTTGCCTCTCCCAACCCACCCCCTCCAGCTGATCTCGCCAGTCTCCTGACCAATGCGAGTCGCCCTCCACCTGTTTCTACCAACCCACAGCAACTACTTCCTCCATTTAATCTTCAGCCTCCGAACGCGCCTGTTGTCACGGATCCCAACCTACTTTCTCTCCTAGCCAAGGGTTTGGGCGGACAACAGCCGCAGGGCCAGGGTCCCTCTAGTCCCCAGATCCAGAACCTGATGCACCATCTGACAAAATGGAAGCAATGATTTTACGACTCTCTTCTCATTCGTCATTCTCATTTGAACTTAAGGTTCACTTTGCGAGTTTCCTTTTCTCTGGACCTTGGCGTTCTCGCATTCCTGTCGGTGGATTTTGGTTGCTTCATTCGGTTTTCTTTACCTTTCCTTCTCTTTTTTTCTGGCTGAAAGCCTGTTCCTGCAACAATAGGCGTTTATTGCTATTTTACTCACGGGCCCAAGGGCAGCAAGATATTAGATATTAGGGCTACAGGTGGTGTCTAGGACGGAGTTGATATTTTATTTCCAACATTGGCTCACATTTGCTATGCTGTGACCGTATGCTTTTCCACAAACTGGATATAATATGATCTTTCGCTTCTCTGCACATATTCTTTACCTTATTTAGATGTACTTTCCTCAGTCCACAATTGCATCAAACCAGTTACTTCTCGTAGTCTAGATCAAATTAAATAAGAAGGCCTTTAGACCTACAAGTGCGAGTGTCATTGAAAGAATCATCAGGATACGTGCTAAGAGTGGATATGCTACATATTGTACAGAAACCGTCTGCCGACAGAACCAAGCCGCCTTCTTACTTAGATCCCCAGCCCTGCGACTTCAATTCCTTCACCTTGGCCGCGTCCTCCTTCTGAATCCGCTCGATCGTCTTATCCCGGTTGTATTCCATCACGCGCTTCTCCTTGAAGTATTTCACCTACACACCAAACACCCAGCGTTAGTAAATCTAATCCATATATTGCAATGCAAGCCACGAGCCCGAATTCCAAAAGAAAGAAGAAACAAAAGGATAGATTCCAGGCAAGAATTCTATACGTACCCAGCTCTGTGAACAAGCAGCCTCAAACTCCTCGACCTCTTTCGCACACTTCTGTCGCGCCTTCTTGTCCTCCTTGATTCCATCCAGGATATCATTCTTGTCTAAACAAGCAAAGAATAAATCCCGGCTTTCCCAGCAGCGTGCGCGACTTGTTCGGTCTGGGGCAATGCGGCCGCCGTCGGAGGCTTCATTCTTCTTTGACTCGCCGGAAGACCAGGGTAACCAGCCCATTTTGGAAGGATAGAGAATCGGAGGTGGTGTGCGGGCGTATAAATTGGATATTAGGCTTGAGGTTGAAACGTATTCAGCATCAGGGCAAAGCAAGCAGTCAAAAAGGTGCAGATGAAGGTAGTGACGGAGCGGGATTCGAAAGCACTGAGACCGCCAAGACTGTTGATCGTAGGTCGATCTCCGGCCCTTTTTCCACCTGCACACGTTTCCCATATTCTGCATATAATACACAGCCCAGAGAGCCACCTTTACGCCGGCTACTCTCCATATCTGTTACCCTTTCCCTGGAACAACTGCTCTACCTGACCCTATCGCATGATCCTTCTTCCCTAACGCCTCCTTCCACCCTGACCTCGGGTACCGCACCGAGCTCCAGCACACCTCAACACACTCACGCACATACACAAACCACTACATACCAGAGGGAACACTCCCCATAAATATAGTTGATGCCCGCGCGCCGGCGTCCACCAGCGGGGTCGCGCACCGAACTCCCTCCGCTGAAGATTATCCGCAAGATCCTCCTGCTGCAGGTTGCCTACTATGCCTGCGCGACGGTGCTCATCCTATTCACGACAGTCGTATATGGTGCACCCTTCTCACTGGATTTGATCTTTGGGTGGGACTCGCTGAGGGGGGATACGACTATTGGCTGGATGTTGGGGTTGGTTTGGATGTTGAATTGCTTTATTAGGTGAGTTGGCCACAGCATAGCACAGTACAGCACACAAAGTGTGCGAAGAGAAAGAGCAATTCTAACCAGCACTCAGCGTCATCTTCCTCCTCCTCTTCGTCTCTCGCTCAAAGCTGATCCCGGACTTCGCTCTGACAATCCACTTCCTTCACCTCGTCGCCACGACCTTCTACACCCACTCCTTACCCACCAATTTCCTCTGGTGGGGTCTGCAATTTGCCAGCGCGGCTATGATGACGTTCCTGGGTATGTGGGCTTGCCAGAGACGCGAGCTCGAGCCTATTTCCTTTGGTGGGCTTGGTGGTGGTAGTAGTAGCCGCCAAGCTGGGTCGTCTTCTCAGCCTTCTGCTGGTGATGGTCAGCAGGAGTCAAGCTTTGGTCGGGGTCGTGGCCGTGAGCGCAGCTTGCAGGAATATGAATTGGATGATATGAAGCATGCTGGTGAGCGTGCTGTATGAAACCAGCCCCCATCTCCCTACCCTTCTACGTCCTTTGGATGTTTTCTTGGGAAAGAATCGGGGTTATGAACGACTTTTATTTTATTTTCTGGCCTGATTGTTATCCGTTTTGGCCTTTTCTTCACGCCTGGGTCTGTGAGGTCCTATTGACGCTTCCTTTTCCATTTTGTATACCCTTGCGGCGGTTGCATCTGTATAGATGGCGTTTGATTTAATTGATTCCCTTTTTTTGTTTTTTAATCTGTATCTTTTCTTAATATGTGTTGGGTGTGTATTATTATTCTTGTCAGTTGAGCTGACGACGAGCTGTATGAAAATGGAACATGTACAATTGCAGATTTCTTCTTCCTTAGTATGACCTGGACTACCTAGGAACCTTATTATACCTTGTACGCAGTATATCAACTCGGCAGGTTGTTTCATATGTCCTGATCAATAAATAACGTTAGTTGATCTTCAAACGTACAGCCAACACCGTTTCCAGCTAGAGATTATGAAAGACGATAGATTTTTTTTTTGCCACTACGAACGTATGGCTAGAACAAGTTACCAAATCGTAGCCAAAACTGGCCAAAAAGGGTCTCTGCAAGACTATATTGCCTCCAAGACTATCACTCAAGGAACCTTCCATTGGTCTCCTCAACAAGCAAATCATACTCAGGCTGGAACTCGGTATAGAAGTTATGCTTTGAAATATCAGTGTCCACACGGCTGTAGGTCTAAGAGCTGGCACCACAACTTACAGGGTTCTGAGCAGCCTCAGCAGTGAACTTAGCCGCAGCATCATCAATAATCTTCTTCGGGATGCCATTGGCAGCGGCCGCATCAGCCATAAGCTGCGAGTGACAAGCGTGCTCTAGCATAGAGTAGAGAATAGCGGCTTCATCGACGGTTCGACCAACAGTCAAAAGTCTAGACAAAACCAAACAAAGGTTAGCCACAAATGGAAGGAAAAGTGAAAAATATCAACTAACCCATGATTCTGCAGAATACACGCAATATTATCCGGACCCAACGCCTTCGCAATATTCTTTCCCTCCTCCGAAGAGAGAACAATGCCACCATGGTCTTCATAAACACCAAGTCGACCAAAGAAGTTACAAGCATCTAATTAATCCCACATTAGCACAAACCGAATCCGAAAAAGGCAATTCACAGCCTTCCAAGGTTGGAGCCAACTAACCTTGAGTAAGCATCTCGATTGGCTTCCCAAACGAACTCCACGTCTTCCCATGAATACCATGCGTATGCGCCGCCGCAACAACATCAGGCCGGGCCTTGTGAATCTCAGAATGAATCAGGAACCCGGCTTCATTAACCGGCAGCTGGGCACCACCATCAACAACGAACCCATCTGCATCTAGCAGTACGAGGTCCGATGCCTTGATGGTTGAGAAGTGCTTTGCGAAGGGGTTCATCCAGAAATGGTCTGCGAGAATGGGGTCTATAGACATTTAGTGTTCATATTAGCATTGCCCCTGCGCAAGAGGCAGTTAGGGTATGTATATGCATATATGGATACATACCTCGCATAGAAATGTGACCCGAAACGCCCTCATTATAGCCCAGCTTGCCGAAGTAGCGGAATGCAGCGGCCATATGCTCCTTCATCCACTGGCGCTTTTCTTGGAGGTTTGTGAAGGTGGGGATGCCGCGTAGCTTGAGGGTTCCATTGCGGGTTCCCCGGGCCAGGCCTTGGAATGAGGCATCGTTTGCTGCTGAGGGGAGTGGGGGGAGTTGGTCTTCGCTGGTTAGGCGGACTGATTGCTCGGTTTGGGTGGTTGTAGATGTTGACATGGTGAATCAGTGTAGTGTTGGGAGTCTAGAGTGTTTGTGGGATATTGTGTATACTTTCAGTTGTTTAAGAGTCTGAAACAAACTCGACCGGGACTCGACCGGGAAAGAATTACCCTTTACGATCACATCGGAATTATCTCCGAAGTCTTATCTGTGGAGAGTTTGAGGAACCCCGCCGTGTCATTGGAAGGCGCTGAAAGTAAAACGCCGACTGGCTTTATTCGAAATGCGATATTCATTGGCTGTCGTTCTTTGTGTCGTGAGATCGGCATCCATACGCCATTTGGCTTGCGTTAAGCTTGACACATACGGTCACTGTGACAATATATGAATACTCCTGAACCTAGAAACACCAATTGACTTGTGCAAGTGCAAACGATACTCTTTATGACCAGCTTAATAACCTTTCATCATTCATATGCCACTTAAACAAGGGAAATCGCTCTACATTTGCATATCGAGGTGAGATGTATAGGATGACTAAGACACCAACACGTGATTGGCTGCCATGTGGTCCCTCGTCGATATCCCTCTCCCATCTACGTTCTTGATATCCCATTGAAGAGACTTGGGATTCAATCCTCGCCCACTGCCAAACCTGGATTGGCTAGTCTAGAGTGTATCTTGACTTGACCAGCTTCTGCTCTTTCTCCCATGCAGCAGTCCAGAAATTAGACGCGTCTAGACCAAAATGGCGGAAGGAGACCCCTCGTATATAGACTACGAGGCCTTCTTGGACCCGGAGTTCTCCCCGTCTTCATTCGCCAATACACTGGTGAACAGCACAAACAATGCAACAGACACTCCACTGGATCTATCGACACCATTATCCCGGGTACTATTTGATCTCCAGGAGATCGACACACACATTCATGCATTGACAACAAAATCAGCCCTCCCATTGCTTGCACACACGCAAGACAGGACTGCAGCAGCAGATCACATTCTCAAGGAATCAGGGACGCAAATTGAATCAGTGACCCGAGGATACGAACGTCTTCAAAAAGAAGTGGTCCAAAAATGGCAAGCGGCCGACGAAGCTCGCATTGCCGCTGAAAACTCACTGGCAACGGTCAGACTAGCAAGGGCTGTTACACGTTGCTTGACGCTAGGCAGACAGCTGGAGAGTCAAGTCGCTGAAATTACAGGCCGAGGCTCAATAGGACCGGCTATTTCAGCAGGCGCGGACCCGGCGGCATCACCGTCTGGAAAAGATGGGTTCCGTGCGTTGGAAAGAGCAGCTTACACGATCCTCAATCTGCGTGAAATGTTCTCAGCTGCAGCGGAAGGCGAAGAGGGCTACGGCTTGGACCGGGTGAAGGTCATTCGCACTCTCCGAGGAGAGTTTGTCATTCCCGCAGAGAACATGGTCAAATCCAGAGCACAGCAGACCATCAACCGGTTCTCTTTGTCCTCAAACTCAGCAAGCGGCAACAGCCAATCCATGCCATCCGGCTACAAACAAGCCCGAGATGCGCGAGCACGCCTAGCAACCGCTGCGACCACTTTATATCTCCTTTCACCCATCCCCAAAGGAGCCACCACTGCATCTGACTACAAGCCCGAACTCCTGTTGTCAACACTACAAGGGTACATGCACACCGCAATCATGACATCCGTGAACTCACTCGCCCGAGCCCTCTCCCAACTGCCAATCATGGATCGAACTCTAGCCGATATCTCCGCAAGATGCCAGGACATCGTCGCTCTCGAGACTATTCTCAAAAATCTCCGCCCACCACCTCACCCCCTCTTGAATTCGACCACCACAACCGACGAGGCCGCCGGGTCCCAAACCGCACCATCAGCCACGTCTAATCTCTTACAGCCTCTCCTCCAGGCCCTGGATACTTCATCACTACCTTCCTACTACTGGCGCTCCCTCGCCTCATCCCTCACCTCGCGCGTCCAGGAAATCGTCAACCGCGGCGGTGTCTCTGCACGAACACTACGGTCCAATCGCGATCGACTGAGAGTCGAGATCAAGGAGTGTGTGCTTCGCGCATCACGTGTTTCAGCAACAAGCCTGTTGGCCGAGAAGGGCCGGTCAGGAACCGAGACCGTTGTCGTGGGTAACTGGGAGCGGGAAGCTGCCGTCATGGTGAGCTCGGTTGTTGGTCCACTAGGACGGTAGTCCTGTCGTCATGAAAGTGAAAGCTTGATATGGATAGCACTACAATGTAATCTGACATAAGATAGAACTAGCCTGTTTACAGGGAGAGCTACAGATTTAATAGGAAATAAAGTATGAAACTCTATCCTGGGTTGTCCCGTCCATTCAACAAAAAACAACAGAAATAACAAGAAAAGGATAGACCTCTCGGAGGAAAATCCCTGTTAACTAGCTACTTATGCATCAGAACAAGTTGGCGCACTTTCAGCAGGAACAGTCTTAACGACCTTCGCCCAAGCATCACAAAAATCAGCCATATGAACATCCTTCTGGGAGAGACCAGGAGGGGAATGAGTTTTCCAGAAGAAGGTGATGGAGTTATAATCCTTTATGACAAGTCAGTACTACGTAGCTGACGCATAAACATCGAGCGTGGACATCCATACCAAAATCACTTTCGGGTGATGGTTCACCTCTTTGCATTTGGTTGCTACGCCCGTGAAGAAGTCCTGTAAGAGTCGGCATCAGCATCAGCATCGGCATCATATAGCTTTTTTGTGGTTTCTATAACGAACGCTGATCTTAGTCCAGGTTCGACAATGGTATGTCTTCTGGATTTCATCGCCGTTCTGTAGTTGCCAGCCTGCTGTGTCGACTAGCCTTTGGATTTCTTCTTTTAGGAGGCTACTATCTTCTCCCTCAGAGGCTTTGAGGTTGTCTAGAGAGGCCATCTTGATTCGCTTGTAATTGAAGAGTTTCAGATGATTATTGATAAAGAGGGGGATGATTTTTAGGTACTTTGGTCGATAAACATGAACACGTGATGGCGATGCAATCCGGTTCAAACATTGGGAATTTAATGGCCAGACTATATCTAGAAAGCAGTAATCTCAACAGTTTTTGTTTACTGTAGGATACTACACTTAAGAACAAATATGGCACTGCAAAGTTCACATCGGAAACTACAGTCATAGGCTGGCTGTAAGTCCTTTCACACCCACCCCCAACCTTGTATGTTATGTTCACTTCACTTAACTTACATGATTAACCATGTTTCAACAACTGCGATTCAAGGAACTCGAGAATGGGCAAAAAATAAATGAAAACAGAAGCCAAAGTAGGGCGAAAAGGATTCCAAAACCGGTATACTCGCTTCGAGTTGGGTCTTGTGTAGAGATTGTCTAATACTTCATCAGTGGCACTGTATACACATCTATGGCCCCTGTCGTAAACAAAAGATGCGGTGAGATGGATCGACCATTCAACCTTAAATTATCGACATTGTCTGCGAGTCGGAATATCGTTGTTGCATTCTATCTCCGCTGATGATATGATTGCATGGCCATGGGTCGTTTGCCAGAGTGTCGGGGAGCCCAGAATTGTTGACGAGGAATTGCGAGTTTCATTATTGTGAACAGAAAGGTTGCACCTGCTGGGGAGTGTTGGAATAATGTGCCTCCCAATCAAAATTTGTTCGTTGCTTAGTCCGGCAGAAACTGTGATGTCATGTTCCGGCAGTTTTTCCCACGTATCACGGTATAGTGAGTGCCTGGTTGTCTAGAAACATCCGGTAAGATAAAACTTGCTACAGCACTTCGCAGATGTCTGTCAGATACTGAGTTTGAGGCTTTAGACACTCGCAATTTGGGGGGATTGGAATGTCCCACTACCGATCATAAACCGTGTGCCTCGACTCGGGTCACTATGTAAGCCTATGGCAAAGTCCGTAAGATATTTGATGAAGATAAGTTTCAAGAGTTGTAACTTTCTATATAAAGCCCCGTGAATGGTATTGTGTCATAATTCGTCACCCGCCGAGCTTCCTTCAAAACTTGGCTGGAATTGAACCTCTTCACATATTTGAATCAAATGGCACTTCCACAGTTTAATATCAAGTCTCAACTTTGAAAGGATTGATCGTATACGGCTGGTTTATAACGTCAAAAATGAGAACGGCAAGTTTACGCCAGAGTTTCACTGCACCAGCATCATAAAGGAGAGCGACCAGCCTGTATTAATACCAAGTATGCAGACAGATCAGAAATCCCTGGCGGCGGGAAATGAGCTCAGTCAGATCGGGACATCAAATAGACCCCCTATATCTGCGACGGATGATGTTACCAGCGACTCGAATTACCATCGCGACCTTTTATATGATGTGTTTGAAACAATCCGATCCGCGAGTCAGGACAGTCAGCAAGAACTTCTCCAAATGATCCGAAATCACTCTCCGATACAAAATATTCGCGTATATCTAGACAGTATCTTACGAGATGCACGCGCCCACGAGAGGAACCAAGAAGCCCCCAGGCGATCCAAGAAGGCGAGACACAACACCGGGGTTGACGCGCCCCAATTCCGACCTCAGATAATGGACATTCGCTATTTGTGTGGTAGCGCTCCATACAGAGTTCCAGCAAAACCATGGACAAGTGTTACCGATGATAATGATTTAGTGTCGCACTTGATCTCCTTGTATATGACTTGGGACTATCCTTTCTATGCTTTCATTGACCGCGACACATTTCTTGTGCACATGAGGAATGGGAACTTGCATTCGGACTTTTGCACCCCATTCCTGGTCAATGCCATGCTTGCAAATGCTTGCGTTAGTACCAGAGTCCCATTGCTTCCGCTGCTTATGTGCTTAACATGTTTCATATGACAGGACTACTCACAATATTCCGAAGCTTACACTATACCGGGGGACGTTAAAACGAAAGGCGCTGATTTTCTTGCGGAAGCGGAGGGCTATATGAGATTATATCTGTTCGATAGGGGAAGCGGCACCCGCCTCGCTACCTTGCAAGCAACCTTGCTATTGTATGAGAGGTACGTAATGTTTCAGAGTGAGATTTGAAGCTTGATTCAGCAGCTGACGGCTTTTCCAGGTATTCTAATTTGGGGAATGATGATTTCGGCTATACTATGCTTCATCAAGCGACAGAGATGGCAGAAGAAATGGGAATTATCAATCATAAGAAACTGAATCTGAACAGATCGCAAATGTCTGAAGAGATGATCAGATCACTCAAACGCACTGCCTGGGGGCTGTTTCAAGTTGATACGTACGGCTCAATCGCAAACGTCTTATACGCCGAGAGTCCAACTAATATTGAACTAAACAGAATCGTACATACAAACTTCCTCAGACCGAGCCGCGTGAATGAAGTGAGCATAGATCGGATTGAAGTTGCAAAAGTCGACGATGATACGTGGATGCCTTATCCAGTTCCAAGCCACACACGACCGTCTCACATGGGTCTATATTTTGATAAGGCATGCGATCTGTCTTACATTGCCAGAGATATTTCTCGGAGCATGCCGATCGCACGGCAAGGGAAAAGTGACGTGAACATGTCCAAGCAAGAAAACTACAATCGGCTCTGCCAGTGGAAATCGACGCTTCCTGAAGCTTTCAGAGCATCAGAAAAGCCTCCACCACATATCTTACTCCTCGGGTTGGTTATTCCTTTACTACTATTTGTGATCACAGCTAAATCGGATGACTTTGGAACAGAATGCGTTACCATGCACTTGTGATCAACCTATGCTGCGACAACTTCGGTTATTATTCGTCTTTCAGTAATCTTCAGAAACGGACACCCTTGTTTTTCAGCCCAGACAGTGAACAGAGTGCCAATCAGATAGCGCTCTCATCCGCGCGGGAAATATCTGCTCTTACACAAGTCATGCAATCGGAATACGGAATCCAATACGGGCATCTGTTCACGATGTATGCGATCAGTGTTGCTCTATACACCTTGCTCGACCAACCCGCCTTTGATATTTTCGACTCAGATTTCTTGCGCCTCACAAGCGCATTTTCTACGATTGCAGGACGTTCCCCAGTGGGGAGACACCTTTTCCATTTCTTCAAGTTGTCCGTACAGTCTCAACAGTATCAACAGTATCAAAAGCAAGGCGGCGATCCAGGAAAGTTTGATGATCTCCCAACAGCAATTAGGGAGATTTTCTCACAAGATCCTCAGCCCCAAACACCAGAACAGAGGAAAAAAGTATCAAAATCTGAAGGCGGCACATCGTACAGAGACAATTTGGAAAGAAAACCACGCGATTTTCCACTGCCGGGGCTAAAGGGAATGATCAGTGAGTATGAGAAGCTCAGCGTGGGCAAAGAAGAGCGACCGCATGGCTATCCCAAGGGTGGTGACTTTTAAGCATTTGCTTCTATTGGTGTTATGTTCAGAACAGGTGACTCTACTCACTTCAGAGAAAATGCACATCTTATTCCTAGTGTAGGGTGAAATTGGCATAATTCCAGAACGAAAGACAGCGGAAGCTCGCCGCAATGGCAACCCCACCCTGCACTTCTTGGTTTCCTGAGAAATCTGTGGGGAAGATGCTATTCGTATATCCGTGCCAGTCGCAAGCTCTTGCCTATAACCAATAGCATTGCCTGGTTAAGTGAGCGAGTCTCACTTCTGCGCTAAAGCTGATACCCCCCTCATGAAGATTACTCCGCTCATGTACATTTATGCAAAGGTCAACTCTTTCGAGGGCCCCGCCTATGTTACATAGGTCTTAGGGAGAGCCATATTCGGATTTTTGGGCCTCGGGTCTTCGGTGTGACGGAGGACCTCTTCCAGCCTCTAGTATTCGATTCTCGAGTATTTAAACTAGGCCGTTTCTGAGCCATTCAGTATCATACCAAGGATAATCTGCCTGCACCTGAGTCAACCCTCCTGGTCATGGAATCGGGACATACTCGCGTTGCGACTTAGTCAGATACGATCACTTGAACTACCAAAATATTCGATGTGAGTAATGGATATATAAGAGCGGATGTATGTATTCACGGCAATACGTACCCCGCAGCGGAACTATCAGGCGGGGATCTGCGGAGACTTGGCAGTGTAGGGTTTGCCCCGACTATATATATTGCGTTACTAAGATCTTCACCCGTCATCACTTTATCAAAGTATCGACTCTTCAAGTTCTATTCCAAAATGGGTATTCTTCCAGTCACGACTCTAGAAGCACTTAAAAGCCGAATTGACTCGGCCTGCGTCGACCCCGACAACGGACTACCGGGCGTTGCTGCTGCAGTTGTTGGAAAGGATGGAAAGTTGTTGTTCTCCCACGCAGGTGGACAGAGAGGACACGGAAGCCCCGAGCCACTGGCAACCGACAGTGTCTTTTGGATCGCATCATGCACAAAATTGATCACTGGGATTGCATGCATGCAGCTTGTGGAACAGGGGCAGCTTTCCTTGGATAATGCCAACGAACTTGAACACATCTGCCCAGAGCTAAAGGACGTGAAAGTCCTGCAAGAAGATGGCACATTGGTCGAAAAAGCCAGGGGCATTACGTTGAGGATGCTATTGACCCACACAGGTCAGTGATTGCCGCCAGATTTACATCAAGGTTGCTTTCTGACGTCGAAAATGTAGCTGGCTTTGGATACGCCTTCATGAATACCAAATTACGCGACTCCAGCCGCCCGATTGGCTTCGACGAGTTCTCGGGATATTTCAGTGACTTCAAGCAGCCACTTGTGCACCAGCCAGGAGAAGCCTGGGAGTATGGTGTAAGAACGCATATCTATCGACTTCAGGGCCACAGATGCTGACATTTATGGCATATAACAGGTAAATATCGATTGGGTAGGCGTTGTGATTGAACGTGTAACCAAGAAGACACTGAATGAATACTTCCACCAACACATCTTTGAGCCACTGGGTCTTACTCAGATATCCATGATCCCAACTTCAGCCATGAAGGAAAAATTAGCCTATATGCACCAGCGAGACTCAACCGGCCGAATCTCTTCTCGGGATCATTTGCTCCGACGACCGCTGACGGTGGAAAACAAATCCGATGTGGAATCACTCTTCAACAGTGGCGGAGCCGGATGTTTCTCGACACCCCAAGATTATTGCCGTATGTCTCTTCATTCAGGATGTATCTTCATTAGCTAATTTCCTTCCCAGAAATCCTAGCGATTCTCCTTAACGACGGGACTTCACCAAGCACCGGATCGCAGCTATTGAAAAAAGACACCGTGGACGAAATGTTCCGCGACCAAATTGCGAACCTCCCACCACTGTCTGAAAAGTACATTCCCGACGCAAAGCCTGATCTGACGAATTCTGGCACAGGACTGCACCCCACCGTTGCCGGGGACCGTCAGGGTTGGGGGCTGACCTTCCTACTAAGCGGGGGCTTGACGGGTCGTTCTGTGAGAACAGCCCAATGGTCTGGCCTCCCTAACCTTTACTGGTGGTGCGATCGTGACAATGGTTTGGCTGGTATGGTTTGTGCCCAAATCCTGCCGTTTGGCGATGCCCAAGTCCACCAACTGTATCAGGATATTGAGGCAGGAGTGTATAAAGGACTTGCCTCAGCTTAGAGCTGGTGCTTGTATAGCAATTTTAGGATTTTAGAAACACATATATCTGACCATAGTAACACCTTATTCTTGTCTCGACTTGGTAGAGTTTAAAATGGGAGGGGGTGGCCTTAGCAGAAATCTCACGATACCTCGATCGATATAGGATCGTTCTCAAATCAGGAAGGAATTGCTGTGAATCTGAATCATGCCGATATAAAAAGAAAGATCAATCATCGAATCGTTCCTATTAAGCTTCATTGATCCTCCAGAATCCAGTTTTAGACCAGGGGCTAAAAGCCCCGTAACCAAGTACCTGACTATGCAGCTGTCTCAAAGCTACTGGTTGATAGCGAGATAACTGCTCAACAATGTAATTCCATTGGTGGCTTGGTATGCCAATAATAGCCCCAAACTGAAACCACCAACGCCCACAACACATAAACCCAGGCGTTAACACACAAAGAGCTGAAGCTCAGGTACCTTAGGTACCCCGCAGAATCCCTGTAAGCTGACAAATAATACCAACGCCCAGTTCCCATTTGAGCCCCGCCAAAATGTGATATATATAATCCAGCCACGGTCCAAACCATGCGGTCGCACAATGCCCACAGACCCTTGGAAACAAACCCCCAAGTCCCAAGTCCCAGGTACCAGGTACCAGCCCACAGCACCCAAGCCAAGAAAGACGGGAGAGAGGAAGGAATAAAAGAAAAAAAAGAAAAAAAGGAAAAGAACAAGTGTACCTGGCATCCTTCAAGCCAATAAGTGACCTGGGAACCCAGTAAGTGCCCTGGGAACCCAACAGTCACGCCAAGGTATCGGAAACAGCCATATGGCACAGATAACAAAAAGCAAAAAGCTCCGAGGGTTCGGATAATTTCCCTAGATAAGCCGGAATGGAAAGTAGATCTTCTATATCTACGGTGTACATCTACATCTCCCACAATCTGCGATCTGCAGTGTATTTAAATGGCAGTCAGATGACCCCCACACGGTGCACCCACCCCCTGGGATCAGAGCCTGAGTCAGAGGGGAACGTGTTGTTTTCAAGATGGCTGGGCAAATCTGGCGCGCGTACTACATGTTGAGTCATATTGCCCTGGATTGCAGATGCAGAGTACAGATGCAAGTCAGTAGGGGTGGTGGTTGGGGCCAATAAGATCGGGGTGTTTGACGAGGCAGGGTGCTTTGTTCGTTTTGGGTTTTGCATGTGATCCTCTTCAGCCTCTGTGTATTGTGTACTTGGTGTGTAGTTTGTGGTGTGTATATGAGATATGTGAGATATGAGTTATCAGGGCGTTGGTTTGGAGAGGGGTCTAGATGGGGTTTAGGGGTGTATATCTGTGCCGTCGTTTCGAGTTACCCAAGATTTAAATCTGCAAATCTGTAATAATAAAGAATAAAGAATAAAGAATACTATATTACTATATTACTATACCGTGTACCTGTGGGCGGCTCCTTTACGCGGCCAGGTACGCAGACACATGGATGGTCCTGGCATGATGTGCAGAACATCCTCTATGATTGGATGGGTAACACGGGATAGGCAGACCGCTTGAAAGGCAAGGTGATCGCCTTTCTCCAGGGGCGAAACAAGGTCGACATATAGTAGATCTCCATACTTCGAGTCAACGACGTCAGCACTGAGGGGAACTTATCGATAAGCCCTGCAGGTACCTGGCTCTACTTGGCCGTGCGCCCCCGTGCCAGCCCCAGTGGCGTCCTGCAGATGTACCTACAGGTACCCGTCCTTACATCCCCTCTCAAAATCCCTGTTGTATGTCTATCTTATATATATATGGGACACTTGGGAGGGGTAAGGAGGGGAAGTTAACGTCAGTGCCGATCGAATCAGCGGGGAAAATGGAATACATATAATTTACATGATTCCAGTCCAGGGATCCGTGTTCTAACGCCTCTCACTTCCCTACCAATCGCGCTGCATTATAGCATGGCGCCTATCCCAGGGGCTAACGCACCGGTCAAGAACCAGGGTAAATCATAATAAATTAAAGGATAAGGCAAAGGCTGGAGCCAGTAAGCACATCATCCACATCTGGCGTGGCGTCACACATCTCGAGGGGGTTTCCACATATACTTGGACTCGTAATGCAAAGGCCGAGTAACCTAAGATCCAGGATTAGAGTACATTTAAGCACAACGAGAACCACGGGATCTAGGATGGGATGCACAGCAGAGATGCCGTTTGCAGGCATGGGGAAAGTTTAGTAGCGACGCAGGCACATCGCGGGATAAGTCCCAGGGGGTGAAAGTTTCAGAGTACTAGGGTTGCCTGAATGCGGCTTGAACGGAGGGGCCGGATCGTAGGTGACGAGTCCTTTTAGTTGACTTTGTATAGTACGGGGGGTTAGTTTACTAGGGAGTGAACGGGAAGAAACGTACATGAGATCTGTCTCCTATCTATAATTAACATGGGCTCGGACTTACTCTTCGTATACAGAGTAGTTAGTCTACATGGATATGTATGACGGTAAGGGAAGAGTATAGATATAACCCTAAACTGTCTCCATAAGGGTCTCGATCGTGTCCAGAACCAAACTGTTCAAGACTTGGCGAGAGGGTTCCCAGGGTCCGCAGGTGTTAACGTCAAGGACTTTTACTCTTTATACTTGCCTAGGTGAATATAGCTATACTCCGTACTGGTGAAACATGTCGGTAGCCCCGGAAGTCTGAGGTGCCTGGGATCGTCTTTTGCCCCTCGCTTCCGATAAGAATCGTCACCATTTCCCTGGAGTCTTTGTCGGATCTTTTCCCTCTGACGATCCCTTACACACTCTCCTTTTGAATTACTTACATTTCTTACAATTTCTACATTTTCTTTGATCCCTTGCGTCCAAACTGGGTCTCACACATTCCACTCCCCTCTCTCCCCCCCCCCTCCTCCAGAGTAAGCACTTCAATCGTACGTGAAATCAGACCTCTTTGTTTTTTTACCCCAGCCTCTCTCCAGTAGCCCTTACTGAGATTGCCATGTTCACAGTCAATCTCGCCTCCAGACTCCGAGTGCCCGATTATTCCATAGCCTTGTGCTTCCGAATCGCCATAGAGACGTATAGAATCCCAACTGGCCCTGGGGTGAATATTCCGGGTCGGGTTGGCTTTGCGACCACTGGTGGTTAGGTCCGAACTTGGGGGTGACCTGACATCACTCCCGCCTCTCCAGCATGACCTCCTTCCTCCCTGTGAACAACTCTTCCCCTGAAGAAATGGATGGAGCTGCCACACCGCGTGCGAATCCAACCAAGGTGCCAGGCACCCCAGAGGGGTCTTCGTCGACGGACCAAAATCCGGTCTCACACAGCCGCGATGCTCCAACCCACGTCCGAACCCCCTCCATGTCAGACGAACCGATGCACGATTCCGAGGGCGAACAAGACGATTCCGACCACGATCATGATCCAGGGAGCAACGCCCCGCCGTCCAAAAAGAAGAAGGGTCAACGTTTCTTCTGCGACGCCTTTCCGCCCTGCAACCTGAGCTTCACCCGCAGCGAACATCTGGCTCGCCACATTCGCAAGCACACCGGAGAACGTCCCTTCCAGTGCCATTGCTCTCGACGCTTTTCGCGACTTGATAACCTCCGACAACACGCCCAGACCGTCCACGTCAATGAAGAAATACCGGGGGATTCGCTGGCCGCCACGGGAACTCGGTTCCAGCGTCAGGTCCGGACAGATCGCGTGCGGCCCCCAGGCCGGGCCCGGGCAGGCACAGGAGGGAGTCAAGGCGGCCACAGTCGGGGTCACAGCCGGAACCTGTCGACCTCGAGCATCGCGTCAACCGCTTCTACATTCAGTCAACCACCGGAACTTCGACGGCGCCCACCGCCGCTGATCATGGCCAACGACCCCGCGGCTCGATCCCGATTGGCAATGGACTCCATGGGAGAGCCTCCGAGCACTCCTCCAGGTCAGATCCGTGGCATTGGTCCGTCTACCGCAGCGTCCCCGTACACCCCTTCCAATATGTTTGCCGCAAGTGGGGGAAGCCCTCAATATGCTTCGCCCATGTCATCCGCTGGTTTCTGGGAAGGTAAAACGGCCGCCCGTCGTCTCTCGGTGCCAACTAGTAGCAACCCTTTCCTCGCACATGGCAACGCATACCCTCCGCCTTATCACGCAGCTCCGGGCGCACCTTATTCCAACGCAACTGGCGTGTTTGCTAGCCCCGCCAGCACCAACTACTCTGTGTCTCGTGACGAGGGCGCGTTGAATGCCGCCGAGGCAGAGATGCGGAGGAGAACGTGGCACCCATCATCTTACACAGGGTTCCCCCGGCCCGGAACTAGTGCCTTGAATCACTATCACACCCCCGATACTGTTCCGGCATCATTTGGTGCAAATGGGACCGAGCAACCTCCCCGGTTGCCCGGTATTGAGAGTTTTGACAAGGTAGTCTCCCGGCCTTTAACCCCGCCCACTCGAAAAGACAGCCCAATGCAGATCGATAGCCATCAGCGCCCTCCAAATAACGCCTTTGGAGCCGGTTTCAACTATACACAACCATCTCATCGCCCACCACCACCTATCTCTGGCCCGGGCCATCGACGCGGCCATGTATCATGGGATATGTCTTTGCATCATAACCTGACCGGACTGGATATCCGGGATCGGCGTCCTTCGAACGCCTCTGCCTCGCAATGGAGCCAACAGACCATTGCAGAACTCCAAAATGTATCTTCCCGCCCATCTTCTTCTTATCAACCTGCATTTGGACCAACAGCCGAAAGAAGCCCAGAAGAGCCCCGCGGACATCGCCCCAGCATTTCAACCAGTAGCCGAACGCGCACCTCCCCGGAGGATTCGAGTAGCAGCGAGGGCGTCCATACCCCTTCCACGGCATCAGTCGATTACCATCCCGCGATCGTGCACAGCAGCGGATACATCGAGTCTCAAGACTCTGTCCCCTCCGAGCATCCTCCCCCGGTAGGAACCTCTCTCCGAACGGACGGCTATCGGCCCGGTTACTAATGCCGCCATAGATCTGTGGTCGACAGTCGTCCCACGCGGACGACTATCAACCCCACGACCGGGAACCCCGAAACGACGTCTTCACAGACGCCGCCCGCAACTCGGGCATGGGCCGCCTCGAGGCTCTCGTTGCCGTCGCCACGAGCGAGAACAAAGGAGCTGCAAAACTGTTCCTGTAAATTGTCATTGTTTGGATAAATTATTCTCCCTCTCGACATATCTGAATCACCCTCGCTTTCGATTATAAGCCTGAAAAGCCATCATTTATCGCATCCTCGGCATCCAGCATCTCGATATGTTTTCGATCTCAGCAACCACCTTCCTCTTCCGCCTATCATTTCCTACTCTACACCCAGCCTTCAACCTACCAGGCTCATGGTAGCCCTTCCAATTCTTTTCCTATATGTTTCAGGGATTCGCACGCCTGCCTCATAGTTATGACATATGAACATGACAGACGAAACCCTTGATGAAGTGACGACTTAACGAGACGACTGATACACGACACGGAAACGGTGCCCCATCTTTCTTTTATCTTGTGTTCGGGAGTCTATTGTTTCTTTTTCCTTTGGCTTTTTGTTTGTGGTTCGTGATTCGGGATGGCTTAACTTTTCTTCTTCCAGTCTCTGATCTGCATTTTGGATACTTGGTTCTGATTCCGATTCTGGATTGGACATACATACCTCACTTCCGAGCTGAATGTCCGGCGTTCGCGTGGGATGGTACTTGGATATTGTATGGGTGGAGTCGCTTGTGCATGACATGACATGGCGGATACCCAAGTCGTTGACCTTGTCCATTTGGGCTCATTCCATTTTCCATTTTTCATCTCATTTTGGTCGTGGTTTGGCTGAGATTGTTTTTACCATTTTACTACTGGCGGACTTTCTGTCATTTGCCTTCTCCCTCTCTTCAACTTATCTTATCGAGTCATGCTCGATCTCTCCATCCCAATCACCCTTCCTCTCCTCTTCCACACCTCTCTCCCTCTACCTACCTCTTTTCCGTTTTGTGTCTTACTATACTCTTTGGTGGATTACGTCGTTTTTTCTTATTTTTTTATCTTTTTACGGACTATAGGGAACTTTGGATAACTGTTATGAACTGAATATGACTGAAATGCATTTATACTGTGGATCGTACCTCCTGTTGGCCCTTACCTTCTCTTCCCTTCCTTCACTATCTCTCCCCATTTATGTATATTTAGCTTATATCTTGTGTGTATTACCACCGGTCCCGGTCTTGACTACAATTTCTCCCCTGTGAGTGGTGTGTAGAGAACGGATGTGGAACTTCCCGCTGGAGCCAGGGTAGAAGGAGGTCGATATATATCTCAATCCGAAACAGAACTTCACATTATGAGTGGAAGGGCGGCCCAACGACGATTTTATAATTCGCCGCCTCACTCCCCTTCCCCAAACACACACACAGAGAGAGGTGGTCATGGCTTGATGCAAGCCCGGCCAGATAGGAAGACTGCTTATTGGATATTGGACAAGGATGGGACCACCACCTAACCCAAGTGGGCAGGTTAGCCTGTATAAGTCTTAGACTTTTTCAATCCATCTCCTACCATGATAAGCCCCGGTCGTATTATGGCATTGTGAAGAAATCAGATTTTTTAGATGGAAGAACAGACAATGAAATGTGAAGACTGATGGATATCTGTACTGTTAGTGATTGGACCACGTGGTGTCCATCGCCCGGGTATCGTACACCTGGCCATGCAGGAGGCTCATCTGGTGGTATGGGGTTGTTGTACTGTAGTTCGATGTGATGAGATGAGGCCTGGATGTGGATGTGTAGCATTCCTTGCTTTTCTTTGAAATTGTTGATAGATTCGGGTGGACTACGTGTATATCTTGATGGCGTCGGATACAATAACATGAATCCTATCTTTCCATGGTCTACAAGGACATATTCGCAAAAGTCAGGGCTGACGACAGGGGTATTCGCCCATGGCGTTCGCATCCGGGCCATCTTGTGAGGGGAAACAACTGTCAGAGCACTGGCTCATTTATTTTGCTCTTTTAAAACAGAATAAATATCCCTAATGTCTTGGGGAACTTTAGAACTTCTGAAAATATGCATCAGATGGATCCACTCTGGTTCCCAGACCACGTAAGGTCTCGATATGTCTCTAGTTACGGAGTGAAGGTCGGAGATATTGCAGGAACTAGTCATTGCGTTATAGGTATGGGATGGCAAGGCAATGAGAGGTACTTCAGGGTGAATGCTGACCCCGCCATATAGGAATCAAAAGCAAGTCCGGATCATCGCTTCCTTCAGTGTTGTATCTAATGGATATGCAGTCTATCTGTACGCAACTCCCAATCAGGATGATGCGATCCCCAAGCTCTTATTTGAGATACGAAGGGTTCTTCTTCAACGATATACGGCAGATGTATCGAGCATGCCGATGGCAACTGGGTTCACCATTAAAGATGGTGATGGGAAGGACGTGTGTCGCGAGTTTCAGCGAGATCTGATGAATTGTGGGTTTCGGGGTGAGCATATCGTCAAGCACTATGACGAGTTGAGAAACCATTTGTACGAATTGAGGCGAAGTTTCAATGATAAGAGCCTCGATATTACGATTATTCAAGTGAAGTATGTACTCACTAGACGTTGATTTCAATTGATGAAGTGAACTGACAGGCTTAGTGCACCTTCCGGACAGTCACCTCGATCAGGGGAAATGCCGAAGCCACGCAAAGTCTCTGTTCATATAGAGCTGCAACAAGACGAGCCACGAAGGAACGGAGATCAAATGAAGCCGAAGATCAATCAGAATACCGAGCAGCCATTGCCTCCCAAACCGAAACGGTACTACGTGAACGGCGAGATTGTCGAAATGGGTGATTCAACCCAAGAATATCACTCAGAGCCAGATTCGCGAAGACAGCATGAAAGACGGACACGTCAGCAACAGGTTCGACCTGAATCGCCTTCAGGCTGGAGTTCAGCGTCGACAGTGGGCTCGAGACGGTCCATGAAAGAACACCAGCGACCGTTTGTACACAACTACAAAGCACAAGTCTCCCCCGAGCAGTCCAACCCTGCTATCCCCGGCCAGGTTCCTGGCATGCCCGTTAATACCGATAATCCAATGTATACCGGCTTCCAACCAATACCAAACCCTTACTTATCTTCCCAAAATGGGTATGGGTATCCTCTACCACAAGCCTATTACGCCCACGCATATCAGAATCCCCCCATGCCATACTTCCAACCACCTCCTCCGCACCAGGGTTATACATATGGAGCATCATTCACATATCCCTACCCACCATATCCAAACCAATACCCAAACCATGAGAACAACACAACCACACCCCAACCGACCAACCAACACTTTCCACACAATTTCCCATTCGACCCAAACAACACACAAGCGAACCAACACCAACCCTTCCTCCAACTAACATGGGAAAAAGTCCCCCAAAAAGACCTCCACCCACTGATCCACCTGCCAACCCTCCCAGAAGGCTGGGACTGGCGGCTCGACAAAATCAACCGCCTCTTCTACGTGGACACCTACGCGCACGGGCAAGAAAAAAGATGTTTCTGGAAACCGCCGATAGAAGAACCCCATGAAGAAGAAAGCCGCAACATGCCCGGCTGGGAACGGACCTGTACGATTTACGGCCGTGTTTTCTGGACGCACGTCCAATCAAGGATTGTGTCTTATGAGTTTCCTGGGTCTTGTCGGCAGTTTAAGCATAGCTCTGCTGGGGAATTGCATCTTGGTTCGAATGGGTTGGATGCTGAGTCGTTGCGGTGGAGGCATTGGTCGAGTGTTGATCTTGGGTTGTTCGTACTTGATGATTCTGAGGTTGCGTGTCGGATTTCTAGGAAGGTCTGGCGGGAGGGTATTTCTGATGAAGCTGTTGGCGTTAGGGGAGAGTTGTGGTGGGGGAATCCTAGCGTTTGGCAGCGGTGTTTGAGGTTGTCGACTTGGTGTCGCCCTGGTGTGGAGAGTGTTCTTTCTGAAGTTGAGGTGCCTTGGACTGGGGATGATGGTGTTGTGGATGAGTTTAGGGACATGCGTTTCGAAGATAAGGTGAGTTGTTGTGCAAATGTTTCTACTAATATTGTCTCTAAAGTTGATGTTGATTGATATTCTTTGTATAGGATGGGTTTGACTCTGGCAATGCAACCTGCAATTCGGTTAGAGGATCATCCTTGTATATGAGTTCGAATTATCAAAGGGCGTCGGTTGAGGATATAACCGAAGACGAGGCACACAAGCAACATGCCTACTAGACCGGGGGATTAAAGGCATGAAAATGATGATATTCCCAGATGACGTATACTCGTCAGTTCAACAACCTTCCAGCCTCAATAATCATAGACCAATTAATTCGGGAGGAAACTTGACCCTTCCAAGGTTGGTCAATATGAGGCGATGACTTGTAGGTGACGTCGACGGGCGTCTGGCAGTTCTCCACATGTTACTACACCGTAGCTGCAACCAGAACAGCACAATTTATCTCAATGTATGAAATTTCTCGAAGTAAAAAAGTAAAAATACAACGGATAATAAAGCTAACAGTAAATCATTGACAGAAGAAGAATAATAAATCAAAATCAAATGTGATAAGTGGAAAAAAGATGTGAAGGTGGAAGGTCTAGGCACGGGAACAGACGTCATAGTCGGCTGACTGGCTATCCCCGGTTTCGAGCTCGAGACAAACCTATAAGTACTGGGATCACCGTGATCCTGCTACCTTCGCTACAACATCTCCCATTACTACATCCACATTCATCATGTCTAAAAGCCGCATGCCCCTCTACCTCTGCGCCGGTGGCGTCGGTGCAGTTGGCTACTACCTGTACAAAGCAGGTGGTGACCCCAAAGTTGCAGGAGACAAGATAAAGAGTACGTGATCAAACCGGCAGCTGCTGTTAACAATACACCATGTGCCCGAACTGACCCTCTCCACCAGTCGACGCTGAAAAGGCACGCGAGAAGCTCCCTGGCAACGAGAGCGCCGAGAGATTCGGCAAGGACGTCGGTAAGGACGCCGGCGCCAAGGTTGACGAAGCTGTAAGTGCAATCCCCTGCCTTCGTTCTTGGTGTCGCCCACTCGCGCATCAACATCGAGGCTCCCTCCACCGCCACCTTACCAGCGATGATGCCATACTAACTCACAACCACAGATCGCCAATGCCCGCGCCAAGGGCGAGAAGATCCCCGAATGGGCCCAAGAGGGCAAGGATAAACTCGACGGCCTCCGCGACGATGCTAAGAGCAAGTTCAATGCCAGTCGGGATAAGGTCAACAGCGGTGTGGACCAGGCGGATCGCACGGTCGAGCAGAAGGCCGCGGAAGCTAAGGGTACTGTCTCCGGCTGGTTTGGAAGCAAGAAATAAGCTATGATTGAAGGTCAATGTGTGTTGCCATGGTTCTCATTGGCGACTAATGTTATGTTATGTCACGGCGCTGGTCGTTTCGGGAATGGGTTCTCAAGAATATCATGAATAATTGACTTTGTTCCTCGCGTTATGTCGGAGACTGTATAAGCTATAAGCCAGTATGCATGAATGCAATGTGGTCGGTGTCACATGTAGTTTTTCAGGGCGCTAGGTAAAACGAAGTCAGTCTCCTTCTTCAATGCCTTTGGAACGATCCCAATAGTCTAAATCGGAATCCATTGACCAATCTGTAGAGCATGCCTCTCCAGAGTATAGATGTGGTTGAGCATTCCAATGCCAGAGCATTACCGTAGTGACGAGAATGCCGACCCCACGACTAGACTGCATTGCCCTCAATTTAATTAAATTGGTCCCCATCTGCTGTTCTCCCTTTTTCTTTGCAGTTGCATATTCTCACGTTGAAGATCTATATTGGCGTTCGCGTTCTAGTTCGGACTCCACGCGTTACCATTTAACCCGAATAGGCTAGTGTGGTTTCAACGCGCTTCTTCCACGCGTGTCCCTGCATCTCGTCTTACTGCATTTTCCCCCCATTGCACTTTCCCACTTCTATTTGCAGTTCTAATATTCCGATATCTCTTACCCTGTGTATCATACTACAGCTGCATTGATCGCCCTTTCCACTTTTATCTTATCCCTGGCAACCGAAAAATTTTCAAGAAGCCGCGATGCGTACCACCCGGGCAAGCGCTGCCCAGCCAGCGATTCAGATCTTCACCAGAGCAACCAAAGCCGGCATCACTCCGTTACTCCCTGGGAAGTCACTGCCCGCTAAATCCACCTCGCTCCCCATCTCGCCTTCCAAGAAACGAAAGCTTCAGGAACTCGAAAATGTCGACGCCGGCAGCCCAGCTCCAGTCGAGGAAGGCACACCCTCGAAAACTTTGCGACTGAATGAATTGTCCGTGTCTTCACCACGCAGTGGCCACCTTGCTTCTCCCAAGGGAACCCCCAAGAGGACACCCAGTCGACGTGCTCGCGCCCCTGTCAAAACCGACACCTCGACACCCTCGACCCCTTCGAAGCAAAGGACCCTCGACTTTGAGAAAATTGCACCAGTCCAAGAAGAAATCTCTATCGTTCCTCGACCTGAATTATTCAATGATGTTCTCAACCTCCATTCGGCATTTGTTCAGGCTTTCTCCTTTCACATGGCACACAACGGCGTCAATGCCCCTGCGGACCTCCGAGAGTTCCTTGGCAGCGTGACCCGCATCTGGAAAAAGCGCAAGGTGCAGATAAAGGATTTGCAGCGGCTGGTGTGGGTTTGGGAAAAGAGTTCAAAGTCGACAACCGTTTCTTACCGACTGGCAAACTACGGACTCGGCAAAATTTGCGTAGAACGCACTTTCCAGACAGACGAGCAGCCCGCCGCTTTGCAAGACTCCTTCGAGGAGACCCTGGATCTACTGTGGGAGAAGGCTCAGGATTCTCTGCAGGCTGCCAACGAAGAAGACCGCCCGTCCCTTTTCATTGAGACACTCGGTCTCTCCACCATCCACGAGTCGCTTACCCCTTTCACCTCGTTCCAGAAAGGTCAACAGCGTCTTCAGGACCTCAAGGGCGGCTTGCTCCGCTTGAATGCTGAGAGACTCAGTGCCGATTCTTCACAGACGACCCCTCTGGAGCGGACTGCTACTGTCAGCCGACGCCAAGGTTTGTTGGACCGTATCAAGAACAAGGAATTGCGCCAGTCCAAGCTGCCTCCTCCGCCCACCAAAAAGGAACTCGTTCACCGTGCTGCTGTTGACCGTGTTGAGGAGGTTGCTGGTATTCTGGCCATGCTGCGTCCTGCTGGCTACGTCGGCAATGGGATCAAGGCTATGTTTGCCTGTCAGCGCAAGCCTTACAAGATGGATGCCATGGTCGAACTTGTCCGTGATTCTATTCGCAGCCCAATTCCCCGCGAGGAAGTGGAGGTGTGTCTTGAGATTCTGGCTCACACCAGTGTTGCCGGTAATTGGATCAGCATTGTTACTGTCAAGGAAATGAAGTCTGTGGTGTTGAAGTCTTGCAAGAATGTCTCTGCCAAAAATATTGGTATGAGAGCTGCCCAGCTCAAGGCTGACTGGGACAAGACTGCCTCCTGTGTGAAGGCCTCTGCCATGTAAATTTGTGTTTGAAGGAGCTGGACTTTTGTCCTCTTCTGCATTTGTTTGATTTTTGTTCATCTTGCATCCGTCGAGCCGGTCTGCTCGCGATCTTGCTTTGCATCAGCGCTCGATACCCTGTATTTTATCATTATGTTTTTAGCCTCAACCTGTACTACTTAGAAATTAGGTCTTCGGACGAAAAATTATAATACCATTAATTACTGAATTTACCTTCCAATCAATCCCTTAGAACATGTTTAGAAAGGCGACTTTGGCTGCCACTTAACGCGCGACGCGTCGCACGTGACCGCGTGGCTAGTGCGCGTCGAATTGACAGATCCAACCACCCTGATACTCACAAGCACAATCGTCTTTTGCTGCACTCTTTCCTAGCATCAATCGACAAAATGTCTTCTCGGCCAGATCTCAAGGTATGTATCAAGCTTGGTTTCTTCAATTAACTTGACCCCAGCAACTAATCACTGAACTCTCCAGGTCGACGACGAAGTGGGCTTCATTGGCTTCTACCGCTCCCTCCCCACAATCGACAACAATGAAACAATTCGCGTATTCGACAGAGGCGACTGGTACTCATCCCACGGCGCCGATGCAGAATTCATCGCACGGACCGTCTACAAGACAACCTCCGTCATCCGCAACCTAGGCCGCAGCGAATCCAACGGCCTGCCCTCAGTCACAATGAGCGTAACAGTATTCCGAAACTTCCTCCGCGAATCACTATTCCGACTCAACAAGCGAATCGAGATCTGGGCCTCCGGCGGCACAGGCAAGGGCAACTGGAAGCTCGCGAAGCAAGCCAGCCCCGGTAACCTACAAGACGTCGAAGAAGAGCTCGGCAGCGTGGGTGCACTCTCAATGGACCAGGCGCCCATCATCCTAGCTGTGAAGATATCTGCACGCGCAGCCGAGGCGAGAAACGTCGGCGTGTGCTTCGCTGATGCGAGTGTGCGCGAGCTGGGTGTGAGTGAGTTCCTCGATAATGATATCTACTCGAATTTCGAGTCGTTGGTTATCCAGCTCGGTGTGAAGGAGTGTCTCGTGACTATGGATTCGACCCGGAAGGATGTTGAGCTGGCTAAGATCCGTGCCATCGCTGATAGCTGTGGGATTGCCATTTCCGAGCGGCCTGTTGCCGATTTCGGTGTTCGTGATATCGAGCAGGATCTTACTAGGTTGTTACGCGATGAACACTCCGCCGGAACTCTCCCCCAGACGGAGTTGAAGCTCGCTATGGGGTCTGCTTCGGCTTTGATTAAGTACCTTGCTGTTATGACTGATCCCACGAACTTTGGTCAGTACCAGCTTTATCAGCATGATTTGTCACAGTATATGAAGCTTGATGCTTCTGCACTGAGGGCTTTGAATCTTATGCCTGGTCCGCGGGATGGATCGAAGAGTATGAGTTTGTTTGGTCTTTTGAATCATTGCAAGACTCCTGTCGGAAGTCGTTTGCTGGCTCAATGGCTGAAGCAGCCATTGATGGACTTGGCTGCCATTGAGCAACGTCAGCAACTGGTCGAGGCTTTTGTTGTTAACACTGAGCTGCGTCAGACTATGCAAGAGGAGCATCTACGTTCTATTCCTGATCTCTACCGGCTGGCCAAGCGGTTCCAGCGGAAACAAGCTAACCTGGAAGATGTTGTTCGAGCATACCAGGTTTCCATTCGTCTTCCTGGGTTCGTCAGTGCGCTTGGGGACGTGATGGATGAGCAA